CAAGACAAAGACTGACTGTTTAATGCAACCTCGGGTTCCGATTATGCAACCATCGGCGTAGGAGCACTGCAGTCGCGGGGAGAAGTTGCATCCGTTCTGCGGTGGTATGACTCACGGCAAATTGCAGCCGCGGCGCGCACTTGATTGTACGCACTGTATTTCAATATTGCGTCATGCGCATTTGCGATTCGAATAGATTCGCGATGAACCTGTTTTATCGAGAACTCATTGACCTTGATTTTTTATGTTGAAGCTGTGGACAGTATATGAAATAATTGCATAATGAACGTTAGTCAAAGTGACACGCCATGATCGTACAACATAGTTGCAGCTGACGTGCGGGCAGCAGATGGTGACCGGCTCGGCGCTAGATCTGCAGTTGAAGCACGTACAAAATAATTTCACATTTGCTTTACCAAGTGTACAAAATCGTATGTCTTAGGCGTGGGCGCTCTGTGCGAGAATGCATGAGCGTCCTTACTTCATCGTGCCTGTCTGTAGTAACTACATTATGAACGATTTTAGACGGTATTTGATATCTACAGTAATGGCCGAAGTTTACCAACGAATTTGAATATTGGTTTCAGCTACACTATATATCACTTCAGCTGAACGCCGAAATATGTATTTCGGTATATTTAAGTATATGTCGTCTCGAGAAATGATTCATTCTCAGGTTTTAGCCACACAAATACAGTTTTATATATTTTTCATTTTACGCTTTACGTATTTTACATTTTCGTAATACCACTTGCTTTTGAACCAATGACAGCAGGTAGTGAATTGGACTTTGTGTATAATCATAGACAAACAACTTTCATTTATTCCATGGCACTCACTTTTTCAGTTGTTCCTGCACTTGGCATCTTTGGTTTGACTGCCCACTGAATAAAATCATTCTGCTTTTAAAAGAACTCTTAAAATGTAATAATGTTGATAAAGCATTATCAAATTTATCAATTTAAATTTTTGTCTAGTTGAACAAATGTAGGTATTAAGTAGCAGGATTCCACAACTGGCCTTCAAAATATATTTTCCTGGATATCAGTCGGAAAGATATGTGAATTGAAGATTTCAGTCATATATGAAAAGAATCAAAATTTGATACTGGAAAAAATTAAGAGGAGAATAGATTAAGGCAATGCTTGCTACCATTCAGTCCAGAACATTTTATCTTTTCATCTGCCATCAAAAAACATCAAAATTAAAATGTGCAAAACTGTAATGTTGCCTCTGATTTTTATAGTGTGAAACTTTGCCGCTAACATTAAGAGTGGAGCATAGACTGAGGGTGTGTGAGAACAGGGTGCTGGGGAGAATATTTGGATTGAAGAGGGGTGAAGTGATAGAAGGTGGAAGAAAACTGCATAATGAGGAGCTCCTTAACTTGTACTCTTTGCCAAGTATAATTAGAGTGATCAAGTCAAGGAGGATGAGATGTGTAGGGCATGTAGCACACATGGGGAGAAGAGAAATGCATATAGGGTTTTGGTGGGAAAGGTACCATCAGGAAGAACTAGACACAGGTGGGAGGATGATACTAAGATGGATGTTACAGAGATGGGATGGAGCAGTATGGATTGAATTCATCTGGCTTAGGGTAGGGACCAGTGGCAGGCTCTTGTGAACACGATAGTGAACTTTCGGGTTCCATAAAATGCTGGGACATTCTTGAGTAGCTGCAGAACTGGCCAAACAATTAATGTCAAATAATACTACGGACCCCAATAAAGAACTGAATCAAAACCCGATTTAGGAGGAAATTAAGAGGAGATTGAACTCAGGTAATGCTTGCTACCATTCAGTCCAGAATCTTTTGTCTTTTCGCCTGCTGTCCAAAAACATAAGAATTAGAATTACAAAAGTATAATTTTGCCTGTGGTTCTGTATGGGTGTGAAACTTTTTCTCTGACATTAAGGGAGGAACATAGACTGAGGGCGTTTGAGAACAGGACATTGAGGAGAATGTTTGGACGAAAGAGAAATGAAGTGACAGGAGGTTGGAGAAAACAGCATAATGAGAAGCTTCATAACTTGTACTCTTCACAAAGTTTAATTAGAATGATCAAGTCAAGGAGGATAGGTGGACAGGGCATGTAGCATAAATGGGGAGACGAGGAATGCATGTAGGATATTGGTGGGAAAGCCAGAAGGAAAGAGACCGCTGGGAAGACCAAGGCGTAGGTGGGTGGACAATATTAAAATGGATCTTAGAAAGATAGGATGTAATGGTATGGATTGGATCGATCTGGCTCATGATAGGGTCCAGTGGAGGCTCTTGTGAACAGGGTAATGAACCTTCGGGTTCCATAAAATGCTGGGAAATTCTTGAGTAGCTACAGAATTGCTGCGCCTCAAGAAGGGCTCAACTCCATGAGAAAGTAAGTAAGTAAGTAAGACCCTAACTCAGCCTGAATTATTACTTTTCAGACCTGTTGAAGGTTGTAAGATGTTTAAAGTACTTGTAGCCGTAGCAACTGACCTGTGTATTGTTGTCATTGAATGTGTCCGGCATGCTCAGTAACATGATTGCCCTAATACAGGAGCAGCTGCTGACTTCTCCTGACCTATGATCTAACCCCAGGCTATTTTCTGATATGTTTCCCACAGTCATTTTTGCATATATATCTCTCACACTTTTATTTTTTTTTGGTTCAGACATTGGCCTTGATCTTCTGTCTTACGAGAGCCAGATTGGATTTTCATCCAGGTTGTTTAATGCTTGTAACAAGTTTATTACTTATATTTTCAACAGATTTTATCTTGAATTATAGTCCGTAACATCAATACTATGGGTGAGAAAGTAATCATCAGCAAATGGTGTAAGATATATGTAGGTTGGTTTCAAAGTAAAAAGAAAATTCTTTGTATACTGATCATTGTATTCTCTTGATAATGAATTTTTAATAAACAAGATAATTTTTATTAAATATCCATCACAGCGCAAATGGGAAGGAGAATGCATATTTCAGTGTTCATTGCTGGTCAACGGAATATTGGAATTCTAACACCGAGTTTCCACGATTACAGTGAATTGTTCGAAGCGTTGCATGACAACGGGAAAACCAAACTCTTGAGAAAGGTGTTCCATAAGCAGTCCACAAAAGGCCTATTTAAGGGGGTTGAATGACCAGACAAGGGCTTGCAAGGGCCAGCAGCATATGCAAAAGACAGTCCTGTCCTCTCGTCAGAGAGGAGGCCCCACAAAAACAAGACCGTAACTGTCAAGACTTACTGACTGACTGACCGACCATCAGTCACACTTTGACTTTGACGGAGTTGAGTTGAGTTCTAGTAGTCGCCGAGAACAGTTGAGTTCTAGCAGTAGCTGAGCAGATACTTCACCAAGATTAACGGTGCAAGAACAATTGTGATAATGAGGAAGACACGTTTAGAGGACATTATAGGTGATAATAATTGATAATAATAAATATTCTCTCACATCCGGAAACCCACATAACTTATTGTCGCGTTACCTAGGAAACATGCAACAATATATTGAAAGTCCTAATGTAATTTCCGTTCCTTTTAACATTCGTTTTTTTCTTTCTTCACTTTTTAAACAGGCCGAAAATGGATGTGTATTTACAGGAAATGCATCAAATATATTATATACAAGACTTTGTGATATATGTTTTTCTTAAATGTATGAATTTTGTGATTTAAATTTGTTTAAGAGTTGAATTAAAGACGTACTGGGACTGTCATTGGTTGTATTTTCCCCGAACAGTTTTCTCAGGAAGATTTGTTCATGTGAACGAAGTATGTTCTGTGTCTACCTCTGTGATTACATAGAATTGTTTGAGTGGCTACTGATATCTGCTTGATTTCCTGCCAGGAAGTAGCATATAAGGAAAGTAATAAGTTATTGTTTTGGCAGAGCAATGGAGCCAGGATAGCTCTGCCTCGTCTCCAGTGGGTACCTGGAGCTCTTTCCCTGGGCTTAAAGGGGCTGAAGCGTGCAGCTAACCACTCACTGGCATCCAGTGCTGAGTTTGAGAATGGTAGAGCTGTACCTTCATTTCATATGTCTTCATGGCATAGCGCTTAATTAGTTAAGCACACAGATACCTTTACTTTACCTTTACCTTAAGTGGAATGGCGAAGCACTGCTGACAGTGGCCCTGGCACTGCTGTCTGTCTAATTGAGGTTGGGTGGATGAGGAAGCAAAGGAAAGTGTGTCTTGTTGGAGTAGGTTTGTTACATTCAACAGAATATCTTGAGTTTCCCTTCACTGGCCTGGTAAACAGCACTAGGGTGGACTGTACTGCTAATAATTTGACTAATAACAGTATTTTATTTAATATTTTCGGAAGTGGGGTAAGTGGATGAGGTGTCTCTCTACCCCTCCTGCCTTTCACTGTTGATTCAGTGCATCTTCAAACCTGTCAGTTTGTGATATGGCTTGTAGGTCATGTCATGAGGTCACATCTTGTTTTAAAAACATTGCCATTTTTTTACAACTTTTGGGCCGGTGCATGAAGCTGAGCACTCATCTCCAACTAGTGCTGATGTCAAGAAAATGTGGATTTATACATCCACTCCCCCACTACGTCTTCAAGGCGTAGTTCTTATTTGGTTAAGCATAGGGCCAACTTTACCTTTTTACACCTTTTAGAATATGGCTTATTTTTATTTTATAAATAATCACATTTATATAATCTGCAAAACCGCAGAGTTCACGTCACCCCTACTTCCCATTGCGTCATCCAAATCGCAGTATTGTAACAGAAGTCGTCATGATTAGTGCTGTGTTCTGGAATATAACATTGTGTTGTCCGTTGAAAGTCAACTGACATTTTGGTGGAACATGTTGCCTCCATCTTCAGGGTTGAAGAATAAGCCAAGCAAGATACCAGTGTGAAGTAAGGTGGCAAGCAGAGTAGAGATCTCTACATATAACACCACTGCGATCATATCCTACATATGAAGCCATTAGGTTAATGCACATAACATACATTTAAGTTATTAGTATATAATTTATTTTTTTTATTTCCAGATGATTTTTGGCATAAAAGTGTAGGAGCCACAGATTTTTGGAAGTGAACTCTGGTCATCAAGAGCATTTGCTGTGAGCATGGTGTACTGAAGTGTCATTTCTGTACTTACATTAAAATTTCTATAACTTTAAATCAGTACTGAATATGAGCTCTCTGCAGCAGTCAAGCCGATTCATCCCATTCACCAGTAGTTCTCAAAGGACACAACTTTTACCTGGCCAAGGTAATAAGAGAAAATATATTTTTAACCTTTTAGAACTTAACCTCATCATCAAAAGATAGGGGATTTTGTATCTCCTGATACTACATATCTTGCGACAAGCTGATCACTTGTCCAAAGAGTCCTACCTTCTGTAGAATGATCATGAAAGTGAAAAATCAGAGGCCAGGGCCCAAGGGGGCTGTAGAGCCAGGGGGGAGGATTACTACATATCTGGTGTTCACATTTTAACTTAGAGATAATGGAATTAGTTTTGAAGAAATGCTATGCTTGGCCAAGTGGACTGGCGCACACATGTCATCACAGTAGTGCCAGACATGGCCAGTAAAGGCAGGTGACCACTCAGCTGTCACATCTACATATGACCATTGCTATCGGTAAAGATCAGTGCGTGTATATAGGCGTAGCTGCATTTAAATGAGGGCCCCAGTACATGGCCATCGAAGTTATATGATCTGGAAGTATTCAAAAGAAAACTTCACACAAAAGGCCTATGAGAAATTCATTACTGTGTGTTACAGATTCATTGCTCATATATCACTGTAGAGCTTCATGATTCATATTCGGCCCAGCTATACTGTATTTGAATTATTACTATTTGTCAGTAGCAAATTATCTTAATAAATAAGAAAATTCAACATGCTCTCTATCTGTTATTGTGTATGCAATTTAGAAGTTAAAAACAAATTGAAATTGTGAAATGTCATTAATCTTGTTGTGAGTGTATATATATAAAGTTTGTAATGTATACAAAATGGTAACTGTTTAGTCTTTTGTTTTATGGTACCATGCTGATATGCATGCATTTGTGTGCAAACATGAATCAACATACAGTATGCACTGGCAATGTTCATCTGAAACTGAGGATTAAACAAACCCATGGAATTGATTTGAAGTAAATTTTAAGCACAAATGCTAAACGATAGCCAGATTTCAAGTAGGCTTGTACGAAGATGATAGTGTCTGTTCACCTGATGAATCTGGTGGTACTAATATTTGGCAGAGTAGAAAAGTTTCAAACTTGCATGTTTCCATTTTACTTAGTGATGTAAGAGATATAGTAATTTCTTATTCAAATTGTCAAACATTTCTAGATTCAAATTTTGTATGCACTACAGTGAGTAAATGGGTCACAAATGGAAATAAAACAGATTTTCTTTGGCCACATTTGTTGGTAGTTTGCCATCTTCTTTTCATGTCAGTCTCTGCACATCATGTAGTCAATGTGTAAATGTGTCTGGTTGGTTGAAGTACTGTGTGTTAATTACAAATGTCATCGTGACAATGTTCAGGCCCAGATGCTGGTAGTTACCATGTTTTTGTTTTGTGCAACTGGTCATCCAGGTGCTGGATTCTCTCAGAGTTTGAGTGGCAGCGAGACAGATGTGTCAACATCCAATGAGAATCTGAGCCATGAAGAGCGCTATGTGATTCGACATACGGCACGTCAGGAGCCCCAGGGCCAAGAGAACCTTAGCTCAAATCGTAGCAGTCTTGATGTATCTTCTTCTTCATATAATACGCTCATCATTCATGGAGCAGGCGATGAACCCTGGACTGGCAGGTACTGTGTTGATTCTACAGTTGCATAGTTCATGAAACTAGTCTCACAGAAGTCTGTTTTAGGTGTATCCCATCCCCCAATTTATCTTTAACCCAGGTATAACATAAAGTTCAAGGAAACAAAAGATGTGTTATCATTATGAGAATATGAATTTGATATGCATTATTCAATATAAATGTTTTAAAATGTTTTATTTCTGTAACTAAATGGGTCATTTTAATTATAGCTGTTTTAAATCAATATTACAAATAAATTACGCAGGTATCATCCCCCTGTTATGGCAATACTCTTTACCATATATAGTAAGATTTCTAGGAATTGAGTTTCTCACAGCAGAAGTTATGGAGAATTCTTTTGTCAGGGATGTAACACCATCTGTTCTGTGAAATTCATCTACCATTTCAGAAGAACATGCCACCTCCATCTTCAGGGTTGATTCATGCTGGTTTTTGCTTGGTTTATTCTTTGGGCCTGAAGATGGAGGTGACATATTCCACCCAAATGTCTTTTGATTTTCAGTGACATACATCCCAGAAGGTAGAACTCTTCAGTAATAAAGTTGTTGTTTCATCTGTTGGGGATCCAGGTGGGTTTAATTTGGTTGTAACATGTGACTTGGAATGTGTATTGTGACTCCAGAATTCACCATTTGTAATTGTGAAATACAGTTTTTAGTAATGAAAATTTATCCCCATCTAGTGAACCTAATTATATTCAGAACTAACAGTTGTAAAGGAGAATGTGCTGTATGCCTCTGTAGACTAATTCCAGAGGAGAAGAAATGCATATAATGGAAATTGTTGGTACTGCAGGAAAACACCTGTAAGAAATGTTCTATGTATAAGTCATGGAGACATCACTGTGTGTTGTGTTTCATATTATTAGACATAACGAAATTTACAGGTTATCAGGCATTCGTGATCTTCAAGACACGGGTACACCAGGTTACTTGAACTCGCATCCAGGAATTTATACAGCTGAAACTGGAAAGGCTATTGTTCAGGGTCAGAAAATGGGTTCCCATTCTCCCTCTCCATCGTTGGGAGGAAACAAGGAGCCTTCTACACGTGTCAATTTTGATACTACCTCAGGTCGGAATTTTGATCCCAGTGTTCGAGAAATTACAGACATTCCTGATGACTACCTCAACCAATCACAGGTAAGGAATTCCTTATTGGGCTGTTAGAAAAGCATGATTTGAAATAGTTTAGAATTATCTTATGTTGTCATTCATGGTGTGCAAATGTTTTGTGCCCAAGGCGATTGTGTGCCTCTTCCGCATGTGAAGGTCTGGGTTTGATCTAGGGCAGTACATGTTGAATTTCTGATAGGTGGGTTGCACTTCCTTCAGATACCTCAGTCTTCCTCTGCTGATTGTCCTTTACCTGGGCTGTCATCTGACATTGTCCATGAGGCGTCTGACATGTCTCACCACCAATTGTGTTGTTACAAAATCAGTCCTCAGATGGGATTTCACCACTGGACTCAGAGTAATGCATTTAATTTTGGTGTTGATCTTGTGTTTATACAAGGGAGAGTCAGTAAATATCTCACAAATGGATATAAAACATAAAACTTCTGATATTCTAATCTTGAAAAAATATTTATTTCTGGACATATCCTCCATCAGCATCGATACACTTGTCTCGTCGCTTTACAAGTGCATTGAAACCCACAGCACAGAAGTCTTCTGACTGTCGTCTCAGACACTTTTGTACCTCTGTTTCACCCTCTTCACATTTGCCACCAAGGTAGTGTTTTAGCTGACCAGACAGATGGAAATCACTAGGGCCCAAGTCCAGGCTGTAAGGCGGATGTTCAAGAAGTTCCCACTGCAGTTCTTGAATTCTCTCCTGGGTTGCTCATGCTGTATGGTGCCTGACACACTCATGATGAAGCAGTGTCGCTCTTGCCAGTTGGCCTGGTCGTTTTTTTTGTGACTTGCATCCCAAAGCTTCACAGTATGATGCAGAATTTACACTTTTACCATCACCATCTGTTGGTAGTGATGCACCCATGATTTGTCCCTTGTAACAGTCTTCTTAAGCATATCTTCTCTTTCATTTGCAGACCATAAGATATGTTGCAAACAGACCCATTTGGTTCATTTCTTCTCAGTCCTGTTCTCTGGCCACCACCATGCACACATTTTCTGAAACTTCAAATGAGCATGCCTTATGTAGTATGCTAAACCATGGCATCGAGATTTACCTTGAAGCTTCCACGCATTCTACAGTTGTAGAATGTTTTGGAAGTTTCTTTAATTGGGATGGTGGTAGGGGTAACCGCTACACATACCCCATGGATTACCATGGGATTGTCTCCAGTTGCAGTAGTCCTTATCTAAACATTCCTTGGTACAAATTCTCAGAATAGTCACAGCAGAACTGAGTATAAGTCACCTTTAGTACAAAAATGTTATTAAGTCCTAAGTATTAATAAAATTAAAATTTATATTAATTTTTTTTTTAATTGCTTAGTGGGGGGTGGCGTCCAACTGGGTCCACTGATTGGCCTATTGTAGCCTGCCACGGGTTATTATGATGATGGAGAATTTTGTGGAATGAAGATTGATAGGGGTAACCAAAGTACTCGGAGAAAACCTGCTCCAGTGCCACTTTGTTCACCACAAATCTCACTTGACCAGAGCTGGGATCGAACCCGAGCCACCGACTAACCACTTGAGCTATGGCGTGGCGCTATATTGTAGTTGGTAATATTTAAGAATTATGCTGGTAGGTAACGATTGGTTACACTTTCCAATGCCTTTTTTTTTTCAGCTAATTGGAATTGGAATTCTTGTATCACTGTTTTAGTAGGCTCTACATCTTCTGTCCTAATAATGAACTCAGTCCATGTCAACTGACCAGCTTTAATTTGACACTATATGAGTAATTGAAAATCAAACTGAAATTCATCACATTTTCTGTTCACTGACTATTCTTGTTCATCTTAAGTTCACATTGTTTGCAGATTTTTCTTTAAATATTATGTCTGTTTGTGTGTGGTTTATTAAATGATTTTATTGTAGGTCCTGAAGCATTTAGCAAAGGAAGTAAAGGTTGTTCCATCAGTATCCAGTGGGGCTAATGGAAGGGATTCATCTGCTCCGTTGGTTGAAGATGGAGAGTCTTCCATGACTGAGAATCCATGCTTGTCAGACCAGTTGAAGCGGTTGTCACTTTCTCGTGTAGGCCCAGGTGGCAGCAGTGTGAAGGAAATGCCTGTTAAACTAGATCACGACTCTCTCCTACCTCTAGACTATGGCCTCTCGAATCTGCCACCTCCACCTGAGTATCCAAAATGGATGGGGTCATCTTCACCTCTGACAGTGGTACAGAGGCATAAAATGATTCCTCACTCCAGCATCACACCAGAGAAACTTAGTTTATCACGATCTCAACCTGATCTGTCACGTATAGGCACAGGAAAGGTTGTGACGGATGTGATTGGATGCTTGGGTGTTGCCACCAGTCCAAGGTAAAGTATGAGTAACTACTTGTATTAATATTTAATAATAATTAATTCTACTGTTGTCTTCACTGCCATTTTTAAAATGAATGAAATATATTATTATGTAATAATATAATATGTGTTGCATAGAATGAAAATTTAATAGAAACAGTATGGGGGTTGAAGTTTTTTTTTTCACTGTAGTGAGGTGGTCTTCTTGGTATGATTCATTCTGCTGTGATCTTCTTGATGGTGCCCACCTACCACAGTACATGGTGTCATAACACAGAAGACCACAATATTATGCTTCACTGCTCTGAAAACCTCAGTCCATCTCTTGAATGAATGAGAGAGCATGCTGAAATACAGTAGTTCTAATGTGGGCCTAATCATGTTTCTCGGCTTGCTTTGTATTATCAGTTAATTTTATTTGTGTTGTGTATTTGATATGGTATGAAAAGTAGGAGCTGGTTTTCTGTTTTCATATTCCAAGAGCCTGTCAGATGAAAGTGTCCTGGCTTTCCATTGGTTGTTGACAAACTCGTATCTTTGTATCTTAACTCACTTGGTTTAAATGCTTTTTAAGTACTTCAGAGTGAAATGTTGTGCTTAGATTTAGCATTTGAAAGAATTTATGTTTTCTTTTTTTGGAGAATTAACTGCTTGATGCTTCAGTGTATCATTGGAATAGTGTTCCTTTCGCATTTTTTATTCTGTTCCTGAGTTATTTGTTGTAACATGAGGTAATACTTGTAGAAAACAAGTGACATTTTGTGAAATAGAACAAGATTTGTGGTTTCAGTCTGTGGGATAATGGCTGTTTCCTGGACATGCCCATATGCCAGATAATCTAATTACATCTGTTAGTATGTCAATGTTCAGTTATCATAATTTGCTTCTGTGTGAATTGAAGTTAGGAATGTGGATTTGGGATTATCATCAGTTTTGAAACATAACTTTTAAGTGACAGTGCCATTAAAATCTTGGCAAAGGATTTTTAAAGAAACTTTTTAGTTTTAATACTGTGTCATGGTTCACTTTATCTGACTGAATCATACATATATAATGAATTTTAATTTTGTGTTACTAGGTAACATAAGAATAGAAAGCTGTGGTGAGTAGTGCAGAATGACAGGAGTCTGTAGAGATAGTAACAGAATTTATCAGGTGATACTTCATTCACAGTCTGAAATTTCTCAGTGAAGGACCGTTGTAGTCTTAATAGTGTCATAAAATAGACCATGCTGTGTCCAGATCCTTGCTGTTTCATCGTTGATAGTCATCCACCAAGTTGTTGGCATTACATAACCTATGCAGCTGAGAAAACTTAATGTAATAAACTAGGAAAGAACAACTTATGGACAAGTATTAAACTGATAATTGGAAAACTTAATCTGATACAGGTTAGGTAGTGAGTGATTACTGATGAACATAGCAGAGAGTGCTTCAATGAAGGGAAATGGGCGTAAAGAGAGAACAGAGAATGGCACTGGGAGATAAAGCAACTTCATTGTTAGTGAGGTTTTTATGGCAGTGGCAGCCTGAATTGTGTATTAATGGTCTTGAGTGGGAACAAGGCATGTAAACTCAAGTGGTAGTGTGTTTGGGATCTGTGCAGTTTGAGTCTTGACAGGGAATAGTCTAGTATGGCTCTTCTGTTGTTGTTTTATCAGTATCTTGAGGAAAATACCATGTTGTATTAGGATGTGATTTCTTCATTTTTTGTCATTACAGCTTTCCATTGAAAATGATTTTCTCATTTCATTTGATGCTCAGTCATCTAAGATACAGCAGTGTATCTTCTCGTTGCTTCGATCAAAAGTGGATCATTTATATTAAGAATTAAAGTCTGTTTTCAAAATACATGATGTAGCTGATGTTTTGTTACATGATGTGTATATATTTTAAGGTTTAGGTTAGCATCAATATTATTAAAACATCATCAAGCACCAACATTAAATGGGTGTGTGAAGTGTGCATGCATGCACTCTGTTCGTGGGAAGTGTTTATCTGGGTGTCAGTATCTTTTCAGGCCAAAGACTCATGGCCGTGAGGATGTTGAATCTCAGGGAAGGGAGATGTGGCCTCCAGCTGAGATGGTGGAGATACTGATGCAAGAGAACAGCTCGTTAAAGGCTGAACTCGAAACATGCTACCAGAAAGTTTCCAAATCACAGAAGGTGAGGAATTAAATCAGTTTTATGACGCAGATGTATGCTATGGTAGGAATTTGTATGAATCGATAAGTAACGAGTCTTTTTCTCATGTCTGTAATAAAGTCAGCATTTAGAACTGTCACTTTTATAGTAATGGCATTACATCATATAATAAGACAGAACAGGCATTGTACTAAGAGGCCAGGCAAGTATGTGGAAGACCATTGGTGAACCATGTTTTGATACCGCTTTAACACAGGAAAATTTAACACTAGGCCATAGTTTACATTGTTTTGGAATGCGATGTATGAGGGAGAGTCAGTAAGTAGGCCACAAATGGAAGGAAAGCAGCTGTAATGGACACAATAGTTTTTCTGTTTGTATCAGTAGGTAGCAACACAGTCCAGCTTCATGACAGTGTAGGTGGCGCACACATGTGCATGTTCAGAGGCTGGTTTCAGTAGTTAAAATGGCGATGGTGCTTGAGGATTATATTACCGAAGATCAGCATTCTGTTGTGCATTTCTTTTTTGTGAGCAAAGGACTCATTGCAAAGGATATACATAAAGAAATGTTTCCTGCTTATGGTGGGAAGTGTTTGCTGTGCAAAGTGGTTGCACTTTGGTGGCAAACATTTCTCTGATGATGACAGAGGTTGAAACAGATTTGCAGAAGTGGCTGAGACGGCAGCCAGAGGACTTCTATGCTGCTAGTTTCACTGCACTGGTAAAGCAGTGGGACAAATATATCATTGTTGGTGGAGGATATGTTGAGAAATAAATGTTTTTTCTAGGTTGAAATATCACATGATTTACGTTTTATATCCATTTGTAACCTGTTTACTAACTCTCCCTGATACTTAATACATTAATTACTAAATGCATTACAGATGTGGGAAAGTGTCATGTTCAGCAGGTAGAACACCAGTAATCGAAAGAACAGTGTAAAGATGAACCTCAGTTTGTAGTACACATGCAGCTTTCCAATCATAGTGCTTATACTACCCCGTGTATTATCATAAATTATGTTTTCACATATTTAATTAAATATACACCGTATCAAAAAAATGCTTCAAATGAAAGCTATAGATCTTAACCAGACCCATGTTGTATGCTGTTTGCCAATTGTTTTGTATATTATGTGAAATAAGGTTATGTTGGACTGATATAAAACACAGTTAATTTTGAAGAATATGATCTTTATGGGATTTGATGTTCAGTAGTCTGGTAGATGTTTACCGACATCTCTGCTTGCTTTTTTGTTTATGTGCTCACCATGTTCTTTGATTCTGAAAATGGAGGCAGTACATTCCTTCAAAATACTGTTAAAAGTTCAGCATACTGTAGCATCAGATCCCAGAAGATAGTACTTGTCACGGTTGGACCTATAATTATAGGTAATTTGGTAAAATTATAATTTTACAAAATTAATTTTGCATAGTAATTCCTGGTTTAGATTTAAAAAACCAAAGTTATGGCAATCTGTAAAGTAGTTTAGAAATCAAATATTTTCAGGAACAGACACACTCTTCCACTTATGTGTTTATTTTATGTACTTTTTGCGAAGTCTGTATCAGAAAAATACATTATTGTTAAACAAAACGTAAAACTTTGGTCTGAACAACGAAGAGTTCAGGTTATTATATGGTCATTGTAATGTTTATGTTATTGTCATGACAAGGGCAGCTTTCTGCTTGTACCCTCTCTGTTAACAATGCAAGTTGTTTTGGCATTGGTGTCTTTAATGAGTGCATGTTTCAATATTGCAGCTGGAACAGGAGGTAGGAAAGGTTCATCGTGCACATGAGGAACTTGTTCAAGCATCAGAGCGACGTGAGCAGTTGGAGAGATCTGCTAGGGCACGTTTACAAGGCGAACTTCGTAGGGTGCAAGAATTGAACAGGGCTCTACGTGAGCAGTTGGAACTTTTGTCAACACAATTGCTCACAGGTCGACCACAAAATCAAAGTGATTTGCCTGATATAGCAACTGAGAATCTCCGGAAAGAGCTTGGAAAACGTGAAATCTTCATTGCCCAACTCATTACACAAAGTAAGAAGTTTTGTGCTTTACTGTATTCCTTTTTCCTGGGTCCCTAAATGGAAACTGATGTTACTCATTCTCTATGTCTCTTTCCTACTGAACTTCAGATTTTTATAGCAAGTGTCATGTAACTTCGAACAAGGCCAAGAGTGCCAAGAGTAACCTTGAATGCGCAGAAGAAAAATTTCAGACAAGGGGGTGGGTTGTGGGAATGTGGGGAATTTGTGGCCTTGTTCGAAGTTATGTGACACTGTCTCTACCACAGATAGGAAAGCAAACTGTTATCTTACCTTTTGTATGTACTTTTTATAACTTTTCTGAAAATGATTGACGTGCAAGAGACAGGAATGGGTACAGATATTATTTGTGAGAATATTGATATGCTCATTTTGAATCTGGCCAGTTTACTGTCTTCATATTTTTATTGTAATGAGTTCATATTGTACAGTTCTTTTTGTGTGTACCATGATACAGCCAGTGGGTGTTGCAGGGCCCAATCTGGGTGATGTTTTTTCGTCTACTCTGTCCACTGTGTCTCATGGAACATAAATGTGTTCATGCAAGTGGTCATTCTTAATTTTCAGATAAGGAACTTGTTGCTGCGAAAGAGAGGCAAGAAATTGAGCTAGCAGCACAGCGTGCAACACTTCAGGAACAGAGGACACATATAGATATCCTTGACACTGCCTTAACAAATGCTCAGGGAAATGTGGTCCGACTAGAAGAGGAGGTGAGTTGCTTACCAGTTTACTGTATATTACTCCGATACAAAGTTTTAAGTTGTTTGGTAAAACTAGACACTTTAAATGAGTAAATGTTTGTGTGTACATATGTGTGGAAAACCATCATCATAGTCATCGTCCTATCAAGATCTGTTATGGATGTTACAAAAGAGAATCTTTCTATCATTCCAGGGGTTTGATAAAACTTCTTTTTCCTTTTGGATGAGATTTTAAAATCCTTTTTGGAATCTTCTTATAGCTCATCTTTCCAACATATTCTGTCCATTTCTTCCTTGTACTCTTAAGTTTCTATCTTGGAGAATTTGTAGTAAAAAAGTAAAGGTCTCCCTGTAATAGGCTGTGGAGGCCCATAGGGTTGTGAGATGCTGAGGTTCCCACATTTTCTAGACAACCGGCTCATAGATGGCGGTAAGGTTGTCAGCCCTACGCGCCGGCTTCCCTTTACCCCCAAGAACATTCCAAGAATATTCCTGCTACTCATTTGTTTTAGAGACTGAGTCGACCCCAGGGCCATAGTGTTGCTGGAAGGATTAGGTGAATTGAAAAAAATCCAATGACATCATTGGGATTCAATCCCACAACTTGTAGCATAGTGCCTCAACCAACTATGCTAGCACGTAGTAGAATTTGTAGTTCTCTCGTTATTTCCTGATTTCCTTTATAGTCCAAAAGACTATATTTTGCAGTCCTCCTTAATGGAGTGCATTTCTTTTGATGTCATGTCTTCTCTTATCATTTCTTATTGTTCTTGATTCACTGCCGTTGTTGATATTGGTCTATCTAACAAGTTGTTATGTCTCCTGTGGCATTTCCTCCACTTCTGTCATCCTCACCTTCCCATGACATACATTGTCTTCACTGAAGAGGTACTGATTTCAAAGTTACAGCAGAGTTATTCTTATGTGAGTGCTGGAGGAAATGCTTTACCACAGAGTCTTTTGACAGGGATAAAGGCAGCCTTATTGCTGGACTACCATTGTCTGTCAGCCAGTTGGTGGGACTCTAATTATTTTTAAGATGTTATGTAAACAGGACTGGACTGAAGATGACAGAACATTTTTCACTTTGTATACTGCCACGTCTTAGAGTGATTTGGGTTGGTAATCGGATTCATTGAACCCTTAAACACACAACTTATTACTACACTTTACAGGTCACTATCACGCACAGACTAGTGTTCTCAGTCATGGTCTTCACTGCGCTGCTTGGTAGTGGCATCCAGCAGTGGACATTCCCCTTTCTCTGGATTCCTGAACTGTTCCTGCCTTCAGCTGCTGAAATTGTCAGCTGACTGTCTACCTGCAGATTCTCTCTGGACTGCTCTCTGTATTCTTCAATCAGACTCTACTCAGCAGCTGGTCATTGTTACATAGCCTTGGCGTGAACTGCACAGAAAACACTTCCAACAACTCTTCTGTTTTTGTGTGCATGTCTGTTGCTGCAGTCACATGAGGGCTGCTGAGCTATTGCCTAGCATTGAGCACGTTTACAGAGCCAGTCCCTAACAATGTCTCTCTCTTGTGGCTTCACCATTTTGGCTTTCAGCGTACATCCCACAATACTTTTGCAATGTTTAGAACATTTTATACCATATTATTTGCCAATTTTGGCATGTCACAGAAACTTGGACATCAAGCGAGAGGGAGATAAGCAGTAATAGGTATGAAATTCCTATAGAGTGTGAATAAATGAACAAGGTGTAAGAAAGAGTACTCTTTTCTGGGATGTAGCATCTTATAGACTGGTAAAAGTGCAGTGATGTTTTGGAGGAATACTGGTGAACTTGTACCAGACTACACTGTATCATGTCCCAGAAGACAGTACTCTTCATAGTCACACTGTGAGAAACTCAGATTCAACAAGAAGGTTTAACATTTGAAGCCAGGATGCTGGAACATGATCTAAAAGTAGAAACAGTAGAAAAAAAGTAAGTTTAAGGATATACTGGTGTGGGTGTCTGTTACATATGAAGAAGAAAAGAGTTTCTTTAGAAATGTTGGACATGACTTCCAGGGAGGCACAGTGGAGTAGACCCTTGTTTTATGTCGAGGTTAGGTTCCTGGAGATGCCAGTGTGTATCAAATCAGTGTAAATGGAAGATGAATTATGTATTTCAATGTGATGTGTTCTGAGTATACAAAAATTGAAGCTGTCTTTCATAAAATAATTAAAAAAGAACATTTATGTATTTTAAACATAAACATTATATACTGTGATTTATATCTCGTCCATTCTGTAATGAAATATGTATATAGGTGTTACTAGTGAGAGGATTGCCCGGGCTGTGGATTTCCAGGGTCAGCTGATCCTTGAATCAGATGGAGGCTCTTCAGATTCCTTTTTAAAATAAAGAGTTGAGGATTGTTTGGCTTTCTTGATGCATCCTCTCCATAATGGTTGTTTCAGTGGAGGGGGCCATAGTTAAATACCTACAAATGGTACAACATGATTGCCTACCCTCCATTCTTCGAATAACTTCCATCTTTTCTTCTGATGTTATAGATTTGTGTGACCTTTTAACCACATTTTTAATGGCAGTTGCTCTTCTACTCTTAAGAGTAAACATGGCTCCACTTTTATTTTCTTTTTTAAAGCACAGATTTATAAAAAAATTAAGGCACAGTACACAGTAAACTGCTCTAATATACAGTGTGTTGTATAGAGAATGAGCGTGTACTGCATATACCCATGTGGTGTTGCTGTGAATACATGCCTGGTATCACTGTGCAGAGACCTTTCTTGGTATTGGGAGTGCCATATAAAATGTTCCAGATTTTATGGGGAAACAAAGGAAATTGCTAAAAAAAATTTTTTAAACCAGTGTATATCAAATCATCATAAACCAAGGGCCCACTGTACTAGGTTGAGAGACTAAGTGCCCAAGAATAACAAGATAAAATAGGGAAAGAATGGACACAGATGAATGGAGAAGGCTCCACCATAAGATCATTAATGCTGGTCCAAATTTTAATGGATGATGTTGATGATACCAGTTGTTAATAATTGACTTAATCAATTTTGTCTGCTTCTTAGAATTGTGACTGATTTTTTTCCATTTGTGGGATTGACCACAATTATTCAAAATTTAATTTAAATTAATCACAAGTTTGCAGAAACATGCAAATATTGTGTGTTTAGAGTTTTACATTTACTAAAATGGCAGGCAGTTTGCATTTATATGCCATGTTTTGTTAATTCATGCTGAATGCAGACATTTATGAGGAATGTTCCGTATATAATACCTCCTATTTTTTAAATGAAAACTACAACAGATATAGAAAGCACAATAACAGTTAAATAGAGCAAGATTTCAGCTACTTACAGTTATTTTCCACATAATCATCACCATTCATTATGCACTTTTGCCAGCGATGAACAAGAGCCTGTATGCTGTGCCTGTAAAAGTCTGCACCAGCAGAGGCTAGCCACTTTCTTACAGGTGCAATGACAGCATCATTGTTTGGAAAATGTTACCCACATAGTTCATCTTTCATAGGCCCAAAGAGATGGAAGTCTGAAGGTGCTAAATCGGGGCTATAAGGCGAATGTGGTAGGACAGTCCAGCCAAACTTTGCAATATGCATGGTGGTTGCCAAACTGGTATGGGTCTAGCATTATCGTGTTGCAAGCGAAAGGTTGTCTGCTTCTCTGGCCTGACTCAGGAAATGCGAGCTTTCAGCTTAGTCAGCATTGTCTTGTAGCATTCAGAATTGACAGTCTCACCAGGCTCCAGGAAATCCAAGAAAATCACACCCTGCCTGTCCCAAAAGACCGTGCACATCACTCCCTGCCAATGGCTGTGTCTTGAACTTTTTTCTTGGGGAATCCAGATGTCGCCACTCCACGGACTGTCTTTTGGATTCCGACTCATAGTGGTGACACCACGTCTCATCTCTGGTGATGATGCTGTCCAGAAACTTGTCACCTTTAGCCTCAAACTGGTGCAACAGGTCCTGACAGACTTCCATTTGATGAATTTTGTGGTTCTGTGTAAGCATCCGCGGGACCCACCTGGAACAAACTTTGCAATAATCCAGCTTCCCCAACATCTTTTCCAGTGCATTAGAGCCAATATTAAGTCATGCACACAGTTCCCTGGTCGTTATCTGCTGATCTGTACAGATGAGCTGATCGAGGTGCTGTTCATTGTGAGGAGGGGCAGCTGAGCAGGGACACCCAGGGCGTGGCTTGTCGTGCACTTCACTTTCGCCACTGTTGAAACTCACTACCCACTGCCTCACTGTGCTGACATCCACTGTATCGTCTCCGTACATCTTAAGCAAGCGTCGGATGGATGTCAGTGGGTGCAATTTGTTTGGCAGTGAGAAATTTAATAACACATCTCTGTTTCATACGCACTTCTATGTCAGACGCCATTTTGGTAGACTGCTCTGCTGTCGCTATCTGTTGCATGACAACCAAACTAACAGTACATTGGCGGGAATGTTCAACCTTTACTACAACACCACCAACATTACATATTAACACAAAATAATAGGAGGCATTATATATGGAATGTCCTTCGTATATGTCTTATGTTGGCGATTTTTCAGAGTGAAAAATGTAGAGACTGGTGATTAACCTTACTTTTAGCTTTATATGTATGTGTACATGAATATTTGCCATATTACATAATTTGCCTTGATTTCAGTGTCGCAAGAAACAGATGTATGTTGAGCGAGTAGCACAGTTGCAGAGAGCATTATCATCGCTGCAGTTGGCAAGTGATCGAAGAGAACAAACAGAACGAAAGCTTCGATTACAATTGGAAAGAGAACTTCATAATGAACGAGCTCGAGCGGGAGGGGGAGGTACGGATGAAGGTGATACTGGTTCAGGTGGAAATGGAACAAATGGTTCTCAGAATGGGGCACAGTCGGGGGAGACAGCGCCTGAACTGAAACGCAAGCTGCGTGAGCGTGATGAAAAGATTATGAGGCTTGAAGGAGAAGTAGCTAAGTGGGAACAGCGATACTTGGAGGAAAGTGCACTCAGGCAGGCAGCTATTGATGCGGCTAGCATTCCAAAGTAAGCCTATGTATAATCCCATCTAGTATCGAGAAGTAAATTGTATGGCTTCTATCTTCATGCCTAAGAATTTATCATCAAATTAATGGAAATTTTTTAATGATTATTACATTAAATTCCATTGTTGCTAAGTTTTGTACATTTGAAAATTTGTTCCAAGGGACGCGAAGATTGCTGCCCTAGAAAAGACAAGTCAAGAGACAGAGAAATTGATTGCTGAAGCCCGATCAGAGAAAATGAGGCACATGGATGAAGTATATGTTGCCCAGAAGAAGGTGGCTGACCTTGAGTCAAGGTACCATTTATTGTGCTGTTTTCTGATTTTATTGGGCGTTTCGTTTTGTAGTTTTTGTAGCAACAACATCCAGAGTACATAGGTTATATACTGTTAAATGTCTACAGTTTTATTTGGTGCCTGTTCTCTTCCTAATAGATAAGACTTTTTATAAGCCTTAGGGAACACAGATGACAGTTGTGATTTTGACAAACTAGCTGTGTAGGTGAAAAATGTGTGTTAGTTTAATTTTATGGCCAAGAATCTAGGAGTGAATGTTCTTGACAGGGATGCTTTGTAAAAATGTATTGTCACGTGTTGGGTGTATAACGCGACAAATAACTTCACGCCTTATTGGATATAGCGAATTTATTCCACACTCGCTCATACAATCGCACCATTTACAGTTTCACAATTACTGCTGTCTGCAGTATTACAGCTACTTGGCCTGCGAATGCTAGACTACAACTGACTGATTGACTGCTGACTCCCTGGCTAACTCATAACTAACTGTGAATAGTGTTCGCTGCGCCTTATTTAGCCCCGTTACGGACAACACAGAAAACAGTTATGTAATAGGCACCACTGTTTAGTACCGTTATGGTTGTCGATTTCATAGCAACAATCGTTGCATGGCTCGCCTGTTACGTGACGTCATGTTTACCGCTTGCCTAGCAACATGTCACCGCGGGTGGGAGGGGGGGGGCAGAGAGTTGACTAGCGCTGTTACATCTGCTGGCCGGAGAGGGGGGTGTCCTACATAGCGTGAATACGTCACAGTATGTTAAGTAATTAAAGTATTTTAATGCCGATGACATTAATATCTTTTTGTTTGTTGCTTATTTCTAACATGGGAAAATATATTGGAGGTGGATGTTTATCAGGGTTTGTCTTGTAGCCTCAAGAGTGAACATTTTATTAAATTACATTTCAGCTTTCAACTGCTTCATTAATTTTCATTTTATCCCTTATAGCAGAGACAGCAGTAATTTGAAACTTCTGTGTAAAGAAGAAATACTGCTGAAAGTTACATAGACTTTAGGCCATATTTCCTGTGGAACAAGTGTACCTTATTTGTATAACAAAATGATTATACATTCCATCAAGTAAAGCACTGTGCATTGATTCCTGAAGCACAGTACACAAAACTGAAACCAGTTTCTCATTAAATACTTGTAATACAGTTTGGGATACAAATATTTCTGTGGTGTATATGGAATTAAATTAGTATTCACTTGCAACATGTGGGTTTGTACTGGTAAAGATGAGTTTGTTGGAGGTCAATTGCTGGACATAGGATCTGTAAATTCTTCATTAGTATCTTCCATAGTTAAGCACAACAGACTGCTGTAGGTTGCGGTTGAATTTGATGCTGGCATAACTGGTACAATGAAGTTTATACAGTGGACTTTCATCTCTATGTATCTTCCTTTTACAGCTGTTACTAGTCATAGTTCTCATTTAAAAACTGCTTTAAACTGGAAATTTGTATCAAAACTGAAAGGACAAACATAAGAAAGTTCCATGATGTGAAAGGAAGTATATTTAAATTTAAAACTACACTAAGTGAGAGCTGTTGTAATTGTCCTTCTTTCATATTTCAGAATGAAGGATCTTGAATCAAAGCTTGCAGAACGTGATGCAATGATCCGAGTTCTTCAGAAGCATACGTATGACAAAGATGTCTCATCATCTTCCTATCAAAGCATGTTAGGACGTTCACCTCATCACACACCTCATCCTAGTTTGCGTGGTAATTCAGATCTAGGAGCTGTACTTGGGACATCAGTTTCTAGAGAGCAGTTAGGTAAGAAGTGGAGCATTCTGAGCTCTTAAAACGAAAATAATGGAATTATAACAGATATGATATGAGTCAGTAGGGTTGGAGACATAGTTAGAATATGGAAAACATGATAGTTATTCATGTAGAAGTGTCTGTGCTGTTAACCCAGTAATTGAACTCTGAAGTGCACTGGCCCATTTTCATTTATAATAATTTTGGTCTTATGATTAGGGCAGTGCCTGAGAGATTCCACTTTTGAGAAGTTATCACAAATAGGGAGGTATTCCATTAACTTCTGATGACATTTTACATGTTCACTTCTGTCTTTAATGCAGTTCTCTTTACAGTCTCTCCTTAATTTAAAATAACACTAAATTCACAATGAAACTGCTACATTTTTGGCCTTGCTTGTCCATCCTCAGGCAACTGTTCTGTTATTGAAACTGCTGCACTGCATTAGATCTTAAAATATTCCAGTGTTATTGCATTTTCATTGTTCATGTTAAAATACATTTGTTTGAGAACACATGTATAAGTGGAAACAGTCACACAGAACACCCATACAAAAGTACATACACTTGACTAGTGGGAACATACATACTAATGGGGTGCATAAGTATATAAAAAGAAAATAACATAGAGACATATAAAAATAGTAAATACATATGTTAATAATACATCTTTGTATATTGCAGATAAACATAACGATAATAACACCACACTGATGTTCATAGGGCTAAATAAAACAACATAAGTGAGTAATATTAAAACAACTACCAAAATTCAAAACCTGTAAAAATTGTAAATTTTGGCAGTAACAAGAATCTAATTATATATTACAGAAAATATGGACACTGCAAGAAAAAAATCACACATGAATATATTGTGGTATGTTTGCTCCATGCAAGAATGATTGAGCCACAGAAACGGCTGTTTATAAGTAATACATGCATGCGACAATGGAACAATGGGGTTATGCAATGCGCTTCCAGGCAGCGGCTTGGCAAACACACTTTCACGCCGGCACAGTTACATCACATCCTAAGAGTGCTTAGTTATCGCATGACTTTTGTTCTTTTTTGTTGTTTGTGCTATGCAACAGTAAAACTGTGTTTTCTGCGTTGTCTGTGCCGCCTCTACATGACACAAGTTTACTTGCAGCTAAGAAGAGTCCAGGAGAATTTTTAGTTGAGTCCCGAGGTTCCAGGGTGATTGAACAAGGAATGGCAAGATGATTTCATAGTGATTTGAAGCGCTAGTTTCTGTGTTGAGATTCATTGCCAGGAGGCGACTATTGAAGACAGATAATCCTGGTGCGTGTGCTGGAAATTATGTAAATCAGTGATTGCACTGTAATAAGTGTGATTAAGAGAACTTTTAATTGAAGTGTCAGTAAATCCAATCATCTGATGTAGAACCTACAATTATTTGCCACGAGTACCATCCTACACATGGCATTTGGTGTCAGAAGTTGGCAGTTTGGATCGTATTGAATTCACTAGCATTGGTTATGACCGTAAATACTTGACATCTGGTGTCAAAAGTAACTGGTTCAATTTGAAATGATCATAAGACGGAAGATTTATTTTACATTGCAACCCAAAAAGAAAACAGAAGACATACAATTCCTGAAAGCCATGCTGGCCAAAATGAACGCCAACGTGAAAATCAGTCAAGAAAAATTGTAAGCTGAAATTGATGCCAATAGAAAAGCCGACCAAGAAAAAGATGCCGACTGAGAACACATGCAAAATGTGATCAGAACCAATCTGGAAAGGATGGAGGCCAAAATGAAAGAAGCAATGGAAAGGCAGATAGGTTCTCTAGTCTCCAGAATGGAGGCTGACAGAAGGGCCTTCTGAGAAGAGATGAGGGCCATATTTGGAGCTGACAGGAAAAAGGAAACCGTGGATTTGAAGGCACATCCTGAGGAAATGGAGTATGAGGTGGAATATTGGGAGGTCCCTAAGGAATGTGTTGCAGTGAAACCTGTCAGAGGACTGAGGAAGCGGTACAGGGGCCAGAATCTAGCAATAGGGTGATTTGGAGAGCCAAAGGAACTGACCTGAGGAATTTGTGGATCCTAGAGGAAGTTGGCTGCCGCCTGCAGGAAGGTGTCCCATTGTGCAGTAGGGACACAGTGTGAAGAGAACATCTTCAGGAAAATTTGGACCCAGGGAAATTTTGGATCATGCAAGGAATTGGCAGCTGCTGGAATAAGGATGACCCACAGTGCAAAAGTGGCACAATGTTGGGAACATGGGCTTCAGAGACATGTAGACGACATTGCACCAAGAACCCCGAAGGGATATACATCCAGGATAAAATGCCGGAAGGGCCCAGAATGCAAAATTGAAGTAAAGGACCCCTTATACAAGCCAGCACCTGCATCTTAAGATTGCGAAGACATCAGAGGAGTTCGAAGGGAGGGCTTTCAGATTGGAGTTCATGAAGCGAGCAACCGGGATGTCCAGTGGGTTGTGGAAAATGAGGAACTGGACCACGTGGAGGGGTCAGCCCCCTGCAGAGCGAAAAATGAAGGACTGGGCATTGTGGATGGGTTGACCCCTTTCAGAATGGAAGAAAAACCTACTAGCAGTGTTAGCATAAGAAGAGCTGGATATGTGGGAGCGCTGGCCACTCCAGGGGTTATTGAACACTATAGGCAAGAGGAAAAAATAAAGAGAACCTTTTGGATGATGGTGATACATCTGGATCTACTAGCACATTAGCAGTGAGCCGCTCAGGGCGATTGGCCTTAAGGAGGGAGCAGTGGGAGCACTCAGAGAATGGACATAACGAAAAAAAGGAAAGAACAACTTGCAGGAAGACATTGAAAGCGCAGGTCACAGAAAGGAAGGAAAGGTGATACACTCTTTAAGTTATTCGGGATGAACAGCCTAAAGGAGGGAACAGTGTGTCATATTTGATCCATACAAGAAAGGTTGGACCACAGAAACAGCCATTTATAGGTAATACATGTATGTAACAATGGAACAGTGGTGTTATGCAACCCGCTTCTAGGCAAAGGCTCTGTAAACACACTTCCGCACAGGCACAATGACGTCACATCTCAGCAGTGCTTAGGTATCACGTGACTTGTGTTTTCTGTGTTGTCTGCGCTACACAGCAGTGGAGCTGTGTTTTCTGCTTTGTCAGTGCTGTGGCTGTGTAACACAAATCCGCTTGCAGCTCAGAAGAGTCCAGGGTAGCTTTTAGTTGAGTGCTGAGGTTCCAGGCTGATTGAACAAGAAATGCAAGATGACTTCATAGTGATCTGAAGTGCTGGATTCTGTGTTGAGTTCCGTTGCCAGGAGATGACTAGTGATGGAGAATCCTAGTGTGTGTGTGCAATGGTGGACTGGAAGGTGTGTAAATCAATGATAGCACGGTAGTAATTGTGATTAAGGGAAATTTTAACTGAATTGCTAATAAATCCAATCTGATCTAGGACCCATTATTTTCATCACACATCCCCCCTTAATTCCTGTAAGAGGCCGTGAAGGCCCATAGGGTTGTGAGACATTGAGGGTCCCACATTTTCTAGACAGTTGGCTTAAAGATGGTGGTAAGGTTGTGAGCCTTATGCGCTGGCTGCACTTTACTCCCCAGGAAAATTAATTAATTCATTACTCATTTCTCATTTCTGTTAGAGGCTGAGTCAACTCCAGGGTGGCAGGAAGGATTAGGTCAATTAAAAAATTCCAATGATCTCATTGGGACTTGAACACGCGACCTTCTGGCTTATAGCATAGCCCCTTATTCTAATATAAATGATGAAAATGTAATAACATTGGATTTTTAAGAACTAATGTAGTGTAGTGGGTTGAACAAGTAAACAATTGAGGATGGCCAAGTAAGGCTGAAATATGTAGCAGTTTGTGATTGTAATGTTATTTTAAATTAAGGAAAGATTGTACACATAGTTGCATTAAAGACGAAGTGAATGTGTAAAGTGATACATCAGTGCATCAGGATGCTTAAACACAATTTTTTGGTTACGTGATGAACAAATTGTCAGATGGGTGTGACAGTATTAATGGCCATTTTTCTTTGTATGTGCCAAAAAGGAAGAAATTTCAGTCAGTGTTTATTGTATCCTGCAGGAAAGATATTTTTATACTGGGAAAGAACCAACACTGAACATGTATGTTAATACTTCTTGTTCACTGCTTAAGTAGTTTGATGCTGATTTCTCATTGTGTCTCTTACTGTAAAGTTCAATTTAAGAGCATTTAATTTGAGAAACTGCCTCATCTTGTGACCTTCATTTGAGTGTTGAAGTCCCCTGCTGACCAGAATACTGTTAATATTCAGAGTTGTGTGTTGTAGATCCTGTATCAACAACCGGTGTATTCTCTACAGTGAGCAGTGTGCTAACTAGTAGCTGCAGTACAGGCATCAGTTCATATGCTAGTAGTGACTCCGGAGCATACCACCATCCTTTGGGCACCAGCTACAGTGCACGCAAGTATGGCAGTACCACTAATAAGAGTTTTGATGACACAAAGAAGTCTTTGGATGATCAACTGAAAGAGCTGGACTCTCAGCTTGACTCCCAGCTTCTCAGTAAGGTAGGAGCCTTCAGTCAGGTGAATTTGTTTTTCATCTATATTGAAATGGGATTGCCATTCATACTTCTGCATGTTTGAGGCTGCATATTGGTGAAACTACATACTTAGAATGCAAGGTTCTCTTATTGACAAAATTATAATTAGGATATTTAATCTAACAGTAGAAGTTCTAAAGAATTATTTAATGATGACCTATATGAAGTAAATACCCATGATTTGAATTCCCACACAGTAGTTGCTATTATGAGGTATAATTTAACAATTTCAGATTATGGTTGGTAAACTGATATGTTCTTTGCACTTAAATTCACTTATGGGCTGCGGTAGTGTAGTTGGTTGAGGCACTGTGCTACGAGCCGGAAGGTCGCGGGTTCAATTCCTGATGAAGTCATAGGATTTTTTTTTCAGTTGACCTAATCCTTCCAGCCGCACTGTGGCCCTGGGGTTGACTCAGCCTCTAACAGAAATGAGTACCAGGAAATAGTTAAATAACTTTCCTGGTGAGTAAAGGGCGGCCGGCACGTAAGGCTGACAACCTTAATGCCCTCTTTGAGCTGAATATCTAGATAATGTGGGACCCTCAACGTCTCGCAACCCTATGGGCCTTCACGACCTGGTACAAGGATGGCTTTACTTTACTTTTTACTTTTATGGACTGGAGTTGGTTGAGGCACTGTGCTACAAGCCGGAAGGTCACGGGTTCAATTCCCAATGAAGTCATAGGATTTTTTTCAATTGACCTAATTCTTCCAGCCGCACTGTTGCCCTGGGGTTGACTCAGCCTCTAACAGAAATGAGTACCAGGAATTAATTAAATAGCTTTCCTGGTGAGTAAAGGGCGGCCAGCACATAAGGCTGACAACCTTCCATCTTTGAGCTGAATGTCTAGAAAATGTGGGACCCTCAACGTCTCACAAACCTATGGGTCTTCACGACCTGGTACAAGGATAGCTTTACTTTACTTTTTACTTTTATGGACTGGAATACCAGATGTATTGTGGGAGTTTTTCTTTTTTTGTGGGTTTCCTTATTCCCTCCAGTGGATGCTGGGATAGTACCCTGAGTATCTGACAGATTCTTTCTTCCAAATTCTTTCTGATTCATCAGCCATCTCGTCATTTGACAGTATAGCTTCTTGTTACTGAAAGCATTGTTATATAATCTCTGGGTGCCTGTGGGGATGAGGGAACAAATTTATTCAGAAAGTTTGGTGGGGAAACATCTTGGAATGTACTTAACTTGGGAGACTGAGACAGACAGGCCGACATATAGGTCAGTTGGTATAGTGATGGGCTATGGGCTGCATGGCCGGACTTGATTCCCATCAGGGGCAACAGAATTTTCTCCTCTCCACAACATCCAGACTGGCCATGGGACCCACCTGGCCTATCATGCCTGTGTATCTTTACCCAGGTGTAAAACTGCCAGAGTGTGAAGCTGGTTACTGACCTCCACCTAGTGCTGAGGTCAGGAATGATGGAGCTATACATCCACTTTCCCGTATGCCTTCATGATGTAATACTCGTAATTAATTAATCAGCACAGGGACAACTTTACATTACTGAGAGATGATATTTCAGCTGCAGATTTTATATGTTGAATAAGTAGGAAGATAACTATTAAGGATGACTAAGGATTTGGAATAAGTCAGCCATGACTTATTTCAGCTGAGACATAAGTGGGAAGACAATATTAACACGAAACTTAGGAAAATTGGTTGTTATAAAAGTTTACTGTATGAGGTAAATTCTGGGCATGAATTTTAGTGATTTTGAATTGTTGGAGAGTTAGTTTTTAGGATTGGTAGGTTTAACCTCTTGGGTGGGGAGTTTATCTGCTTTGTTGTAACCTACCCTGGGTAATTTTCCCCCCAGGCCATGTAACTGTAAATGTTATATTGTATGTGCATCATGTTGCCCAGCCAGTGTTCACAATCTGCCTCCTTTGCACATGCAGTGGAAAAAAATTGGATAGGTGGCAGGTGTTATGCTATATGTCTCTTGCATAATGCCATCATCTAGACAAAAATATTTCAACTGTCACAGCAGTAGAAGTTCCAGCAGTCTAGCTTATTGTACTTGGGAGCTATACTTGAAATCAGAGTACATGATGGTATGTCATACCCATTATATGATCATTGGACTACAGTGGAATGTTGTGGCATAACAAGCAGAAGGGTTAGACGTTAAGGACACCATATATGAGAACTGTTACCATTTTGAAACATTTTGTACATTTAGAAACTTTCGTACTTTTAATACATGGATTTGTGGCTAGGTGATTGTCTTATGCAGCATTTATGACAAAAAATCCACCAAGAATGTGACTTATTGGTCAAAATGAGTAGGATCATGTATATTTGAATGCCAGCAAAACTGTGATAGTTGTATTATCATTATTAAAGTCTTAGAGTTATACTGTAAGTACAGAACTGTTTCATACAAATAAATTGCTCTGTTGGGTTTGACCCTCTAGTTTTCAGCCACACAGTTAAGTGGGTATAGTACATCATACAGGGGCACCAGTAAATCTGTATGGCATGGTAGAATATATGCATGATTTTAATGGATTGTCGTACTGCCCTGGAACTGTTCACATAATTGTTTATTGTTTGAGCAAATGCACTATTTTATTTGGCGTTTGTTTCTTGTTATATATATATTTTTTTTTTGTGTATAATACCTTGTCCTAATTTGGGCTGTGCATGTTAGAATGTTTGGCATTTATAAGTTGTAAAATATCGTAATGTTTTGGGAATTTCAGGAAAAATGTACACAGGAAATTTTTCACATGAATTGTATTTTATGGGAATAGAAATGAAAAGAAGTGATAATCTTGATACAGAATTGAGACATCTGGCCAAAATTAATTAATTGTAGTGAAAGTATTTGCTCATGTTTCATCATTCTCATTTCTGCTTCTGTTGAGAAAACCCATACCCTTCTTCTCTTGAGTAATTTAAAAGTAGTCCTGTATTCAAACAAAGTTTTGTCAGAATTTGGTATGTCATGCTGTACTGTTCAGCTTTAACTTAATTTTTTATGTTTATTTGCATACAACTTCCCCATTTGCTGCAAGTGTTTAAAGCTCATAACTTGAGTTCAGGAGGGGAAACTTGATGGTATGAAATTTGATTGATTAATTTCAGTATTGCATAAAATAACAGAATTAATTTAGTTGGTAAATGAGTTAAAATGCAGGAGCATCTGTAAGTCCTTTTTGTGTGTTAAGAGAAGAAATCTTAAATGTGCGGCTCACTTATATTTAATGTCACTGATCAAAGAAAAGCAGTTATCCATTTAATTCCCTATAGTCACATCAGATATTAAGAACTTCTTCAGCCAGGTTGTATGCTTGTTGGAAAAAGTGTTAGTGATATTTCACATCTGCTTGCTGAAGCATATTAAGTCTGTGGATTGCATATCGACCTATGATAGAAAAGGATTATTTTCTCCTAGATTTTAGAGGAAAGGTGTTCCATGAATAACTACTGGATTCACTGTGGTCTTTTGCATTATGAGACCATGTAGTCTGGTAGGTGGGTATCAGACTACAGGATGTCATAACTCAGAAAACCACACTTTGAGTCTTCACTGCTGTGAAAACCACAAATCTTGAATACTGAACTCGTTCTGCATGTGAATAGTTTCTGTTGAGGCACGGAAATATAATTTGAATCTTTCATTTCTGATATTAGCAACATCCAGTGCAATGGAATATATATGAACAGAAATAAGCTCTGTGTTGTGTATTCTTGCTTCTTGATTTAGGAACAGAATGTGCACAGCTCTCCCTTTCATAACCTGCCTGGCCGGCGCATGCAGTGTGGTGTGCCACTAACCCTAACCACTCATCATGATTCCTGGACTGTCCCAACTCTCGTTTCTCTTTCTTTCTTCCTTTTCAGCGGGGTCTTTGCTGTTTTCCAGGATTCTCTAATACAAGCACTACGCCGCGAAAAGGAAAACTACCCAAGCCATTACTGGCGGGTGTAAGGGGTGCATCACCTCATCATCATTTATTTGAACCTGGTTTCCTGCAAGGTTTAGTACCTAATCGTTATGAACAGGGACGACCTGAGGAAATTCTACTCTTGGAGAAGCAAGGCCGCAGTTCACAGCAGCAACGGATGCAAGAATCATGTTTGGGAGGAGGCCCCACAAATAATCGTAACCGGTCAGGTAGCCTTCCTCCTAGTTCCTTGCCACGACCCCGGCGAGCACATAAACCTGCAGGAAGCAGCAAGGATCGTCGATTAGGGGAATATGGCCGACTCAGTGATGGTGAAGGTAGGAAGACACCTGGCATGTCATGTGAAGGATCAGATGCAACTGGACCAAAGGGCCGGGAATCACCAGCACGTTCCCACATCCCACCTCCAAGGAAGTTAGGCGAGTATGGGCGTCTGAGTGATGGTGAAAGCCGTTCCATTGGAAAGGCTAGTAGTACAACAAGGGTAGGCCAGGGAGGAGCCACGAATGGAGCAAAGGCTGGAGGAGATGACTCAAAATTAAGGCTGATTCCTGGTCCTCGTACCAGGAGGGGTTCTTCCCTTACAAGGGATAATAAACCGAGTTCTGCTGACAGCAGTAGTGCCAGGTCTGTGGCAAGCACTGGTAAGTACCGCATACAGTTCTAAACTGTAGAAGTCACTAAGTACGGTGCCTTATAGAGCAGGGAATATTTCCCTGTTCAAACCCAGTTGAAAAGAAAGTGTAAGACTGAAGACTGTCCGCTTAGTGGATTATTTTATAAATGTCTGATGGTAGTTAGCAAAATCATGGCATACAGAAACTCTTTGTATGCTGTATTCTAGTCTTGTTTTTTATCAGGCTGTTTTGTTGCCATTAATCAATATTTAACACATGGATATACACACACGCATACATAAAGGCATTTTTATTATGAGATGCTATTGTAAGAAGTTATTTAAACTTCAGGAACATGATGAGGATTAGAGAATTACTTTTATAGAACGGTGTTACAATGAATTGTGAAAATAAACGTTTATAATAAAAATTATATCTCTACCTTTTACAGTGGAACTTGGTTAGTAGATTGCTTATTGGATATGATAAACATTTTTGTCCCCCATGTCTCTGGTATATTAAACGTTTTCTTAGTTTATTGGGTTCCATGAATTATACCAACAAAGTTCCATCTTTTTTTAATACCACTATTCCTTGCTATGGGCATAGGTGTGCAGTATTAATAAATTCTATTCCCATCCACTTGATTGGTATCCATTCCTTTTCAGGATTTTGCATGTCCTTTAAAATGATAAGCTGCATATGCATGGGCCATTAATAGCCCAGTCAGTAGAGTGACTGCCTATGGGCTAGATTGCCAGCCTTCAAATCACTGTAAGTCTGCTGGGTTGTCCCTCTTCATTGCCATAGAATACATATGGGACCCACCCAGTTCCCTGTCCAAACCATGCAGAGTCCATCGCAGAGAGATAAAGCAGTCAGAATGTGAATTTGACCCTCACATACCTATTGCCAAGGTGCAGAGTGTGTTGATCTTTGCCCCTGCTTCATCAGTATGCTTTCGTGTCATGATGCTTAGTTACAGAAGCATTTTTACTATTGTGTATAATCTGTTGGATATGTCTCATATCTTCAGCTGTTCCAGTTGATGCTTAAGACTCCCAGTTATTTTGTGGAAAGTTTGGAATGTTGTAATGCTCATTTCTCCCTTACTCTTGCAATCCTACAGGATCTTCCTTAAGCAGTCGGTAGTCAATCAAGTTGTTTAAGGAATTTCTGGTTATGGAACTTCAGTATTCATCACCATCATCAGATAGGTCCACAACTGGATCCTCTCCTGAGCCAACTGAATCCAGGTCATATCTTCACACCTATATAAGCCTTATTTTTATAAATATATCTCTTGGTGCGTAGTTATGTAACATTATGATTGTTGTTTTATTTAACACTATTTGGCAGCTGCGATGTTAATGTTGTACTGAATGATTATGAATAATGAAAGGGACAATGCAGGAAGCAGTATGAAGTAAAGTAGTACCTGAATTAACATTCTAAGTTAGAACTATTCTTAATTTTGCAGTTCTCAGTATTACTCTTGTTGATATTATTATTTTCAGAAATTCAGGTAATAGTTTGATATATCCATTCAGTTGCCTTGAAGGATTGAAGAAAGCCACAGGAAACATCAGGATATCTAGTCTCTGTTGTGAGATTCAGTCACAAGGCCTCCTGGATATGAATCTGGAGTATGAACAGTTACACATGTCATTGGTCCATGTCATTTTCATAATTCATAATTTATTTTATTGTCTGATAAGAGTGTACATCTTGTAACAGCCAGAGGATGTTGTAAGTTGTGGTTGTTTGATTAACTTCCATTAAATGTGAGAAAGTTCGTTTGAGAAGTGAGGTACAGTTTTGTGTTTGATGGTGAGTATGTTATGTTCCTTTTTAAAGCAGACAGTGCACTTCATAATGAAAAATTACTTTTTATCATTTATTCTACAATCAGTGTACTGCACTGGACAAATTAAAACTAACTCTGACATAATGAAGAACTAAACATTTTTGTTATGTTTTCCAGAAAAGGAAAATGACCCTTGGAGAATAACATGGATTCATCATAAGAGGGATATTTGCTTTCTGAATTTTTACTGGTAAACTGAAGAGCTGTTATGAGAAATTTGGAATTTGGTTTCATAAAATTGTGCAGGTTTGCAGATGATGACTTGTAAAATGTATCAGAATTGAAAACAAATATTTAAGGTTAAGTTAAAAACATCCTTATGTTAGGCATCCATATTGGTGGGAATTTTATGAAAAGATTATTAAGTGTGCCAAATGTTCTTTTAAGCATTTGGATGTCTTCTTTATTCAGGTGAGGCCTTTGTTATTTTTTCAAAGAATTTTCCATATACTTGTTCACTTAAAACCTCACCTCATAGTATTATATACTGCATCCCATAACTAACAGACTCTGCTTCCCTAACTGTTGATGGGATACCATTATGTACATTTGTGGCTCTTTATGAATGTTCAGTGTGCCCACCATAAAGTACCTGGTAGTAGTAAAAATATTGCAGATAATAACTACTTATGAGATCTCAAAGGTTCAACACTGCTGATACAAAAGTCATTGGATACAAACCTTAGTAAGCATCACTCAGCTCCCAACCTCACAACTATCTCTTGAAGATCCAGCCTTGATTTTTTCTTGCATCTTTTTCTCAGATGTTTGTATGACTGCCTTCCAACGTCTTTTTCCAAAAAGAATTGTCACTTTTCTTTTTCCTATTTGATCTACATATCCGGCCCATTTTAACTCCCTGGATTTCACTTTTTTAGCAGTAGAAGATAATGTGTGTAAATTACAAGGTTTATTGTTATGCACTGCTTTAAATTGCCCCATTACTGCATCCCTCACAGTTCTGGTTTAGTCTTATTGTTGACGATAAAGTTGAAAGTATAATCAGAAATCAACCAGCTTTTGTTGTATCGGTGTAACCCAATTTTCTTGGCAAATTCTGTAGTTGAAAAATCTGATCAGTAGTAGAGATACTACACTGCAGTGGCAATTTCCCTTATATTTCTATAAAAATCAGATAATTTTTAAAATAAAAGTAATAGATCTTAATGAGTTCTGTATTTTGTGCTATGTATCTGCCCCCCCCCCTAAAATGAACTAATTTTGAGGAACTGTCAGCTGCAGAAAGTATTTAGCATGTGTTGAGTGTGAAGAATATTGCTATTGTTAAGTTTGGAAGTAATGGTATGTGGGAGAAAACAGTTGCAGACAGTTTCAGGACATTCTTCTCATTGTGTTCTTATTCATATCATTTTCAACTTAAATTTGTCCTTTAATAAAATTCTAATATTGCATTATAATTCTTGGTATTCCATCCTATATGCTGAGATGCAGTCTTGAAGTACTCTTCAGGCACTGCAGATTCAACACATCATTCCATTCTTGTCTCTTATCAGTCTTATACATGAAGAACCACAAAACAGTAAATACTGAATTGTGTATTGGGGGGTAAAGTAGAAAATCAGCTCTGGATTAGTATGAAACTCATAAATAGTGTAGAACACACCTAACTATGTATGTAAAAAGATGTATTAATTTTGGATGATTCTTTACACACAAAGATGTTGTACATTTTGTGTGTTAAAAATTTTTTTATATTACCTACCCTATTAAAGAGTGGATGGTACAGTTGAATTTGACAATTCCACACAGTAGGTAACATTCTCAAAGTTAAAACCAGTGAATTATCATATTTGGAATGAACTTAAACAGTATAAGATTCATTTTGTGCACTTACTTCAATATCTTCTACACATCTTATGAGTGTTATTAAAATTGATAGAACTGTTCATTACCATTTTTAAATATTTTTTGCGCCACCAAATATATACATATATACTGCACTGACTTCCCAAATTGCCAGATCTGAATTCCTGCCAGACCATGCTGCAAATTGCATTGTCCATTCTTGCATCTCTCCATGAAGGAATTTAAACTTTTGAGTGTTGAACATATCACGTAGAGACAAGTAGCAGAAAACAGCTGATCAGTGCCAAGAAATGAAATGAAAAGCTTTGTGGTCACAGTTCAGGGTTTCAATTTATTTTGTTTATTTTTTTCAATAATTTTCATGATTTCATTCTTTCTGCTTGTGTTTGATACATGTATCCTTTGGGGGTTGTCACGTTCTTAACCAATGGATGTGAGGCACGAGGTAAATAAGCTGATCACAGCATTTTCTTAAAGCTGTTATTGACCTGTACAAAGTCTGTGGGAGATCAGGCTTGTGAAATGTTTTATCATATGGACAATCTGCGGCAATTCCATATATATTCATGGAGACTTTAGATTCACAGCTTTGATTCACGGGGGAGAGAACAATTTGTCCTCATCATTTTTGTAGAAAAGAATCTTGATTTATAGAAGGGAGTTTATAAAACATGGGTATAGCAATGCAGTGATGCTATAGTTTGAAATAAATACATGGGTGTATTAAACTGTGATGAGCTGAAGTTTAATTTTAGGCTTGATTTTCATGGGACTATGAAAACTGTGCCACTGAAGTCCATCACAAAGCCATCATTTTGAATGTATTACATTCGGTAATAAACATACATGAACTTGCAAACTAGCAAGTTGGGGGATGCAATTATAGCGATGAACTTTGAGCAGCACACTACTGTGTGTCGAACTGCGTTGCTCTCTCTTCATTGGTGCAGCACTCTGCGAGATTGAGCAGTGTCAAGCCAGGCTAGGTTTGAAAATCCAACTCTGCATATATTTTTTTATTGCTAGTGGGTTGGGACTAAGTCCCTTGCACTGGGGCCATTTATGATAGGTAGGGGTGATTGTGGAGCAATTTGTGGAATGAAGATGGGCAGGGGAACCCGAAGTACTCTGAGAAAACCTGTCCCAGCGCCATTTTGACCACCACAAATCCCACTTGACAAGACCCGGTATTGAACCCAGGCCGCCACGGTGGGAAGTCAGGGACTATGCGCGGCCTTAACTCTGCATATTATTCCCCATTGGGTCAATATTTGGTGCTACGCAGCAGTGTTAGGTGAGTTTATATTCAGTATGGGGGGAACAGCAATATGCATCCATATATTCCTTCTACTGGATCAGTTGCGTTCGATAGCATTAAGTTAAATTGGGGTGCATTAATTTGGATTATACCGACACATCATACCTACCATTAATCAGAACACGAAATTGGGCCCTCTCATTTCGAAGAGTTTATAAATGGTTGATACCCTAGAATTTTCTTCCGAGATAATCACATTTTCGAACTTTGTGGAAAAATAAGGTGTTTTAAGTTCCAGAAGCATTCGATTTTCCGAAATCTCAAAATTTGGGTGAATTTCAGAAACTTTGTTTTTCGAAAAAGGTTCAATATTGTCGAAAATTCTTTAAAAACTCCTAGATTCGGTTCCTCCGATTCATTGATATATTGCGGGATTGCTAGAAACATCTAAGCGAATAGGAAACGTGAACAAGCATTTGCAATAAAATATATATATATTTATTTTGTTACAACATTCGTAATCTTTCGTAGTCACAATTGCTTTTGTTTCTCCGTACTTTAGTGCTGCCATCTCTCCACAGCACATTTCCCTAATATCAGGTAGCCATAAACCGAATGCAACCACCGATCAATTTATGTAGTGAACAGATAACAGATTGAGTTCTGAATGCAAAATAGAGTAGGCCGTGAACGAAGATGGCGTCTTGTGTTAGGTTTAATAAATAATAATAAATTAATTTATTTATACAGTATACATAAATTTTACAACGTAAAAAATATGTGATGGTGAAAGTAACACATGGCGTGGAAGGAAGGAACTGTCCAACCTCAGCACTTTGTCGAAGAAATAGACTATACCGAAATTGAAAAGTTAGAGGTTTGTGTTACCGCAACAAATTTCAGGAACATGTATTGGAAGTTTTTTCAAACATTATATAGAACAGTGGTTAATGATTTTGTTATTAGCTTTACGTTTCCAACACGCTGTGTGATAGTGGGTTTGGTGTTTGCTTTTTAGTTTCTAACGTCGTTTCAGGTAGATTATATATTTGCGAAACTCAGACAAATTTAACCTTCTGTGCACAGTTTGTACCGTTTCTTCGAAACTTTACCTGAAGTTTATTTATTTTCTCAGGTTGTTGGGAAAGGCTCGTTTGGTGTTGTTTGGAGAGGAAGGTGGCGAGAGACTTATGTTGCTGTTAAGGACATTGACTCAGAAGCAGAGAAAAAGGCATTTGCAGTGGAAGTTCGTCAACTATCAAGAGTGAGCCACCCAAACATAGTGAAGTTGTATGGTGCTTGCACGAAAAACCCAGTGTGCCTTGTGATGGAATATGCGGAAGGTGGTTCTTTGTACAATGGTGAGTTTGATTAAAATAAATTGTAAAACCACTGGGCTCTCTTCTGAAATGTCTGCAACAATTCCTGTGATTTGAGGTTCTTATAATAATATTGGTGTTGAATATCATTGCATCAAAGTTGTTGCCTATCAGGAGGTCGCTAAATGACAAGTGCTTGTTCCATGTTCTGATAAAGGTAAAATTGTTGCTGTGCTCAACTATTTAGCACTATGCCATGAAGGCATATGGAGGAGTGGATGTGTATAGATCCACATTTTCTTGACCTTGGCACTAGTTGCAGGTGAGTGGTCAGCTTCACGCCCTGGATGCTTTACCCCAAGGGAAAGAGTCCCTGGTACACATTGGGTAGGAGGCTGGGTGGCCCGAGAGCCAGTGTGGAGAACATGCAGAAGAGAAAATTCTTGACCCTACTGTGACTCTAACTCTGACCCCTTGGTCGTTCAGCCCATAGCCAGTCACTATACTGACCATGCTATCCCAGCTCCTGGATACTCACATTATATAGTATTTCCATCAGAATATTGTACAATACTTCCCTCCTAACTGAATCACAGGCTTTCTTGAAGTCTATGAATAGCTGATGTACTGTCTCATTGTACTCCCATTTTTTCTCCAGTATCTGACAAATGCAAAAGACCAGATGAGTAGTTGGTCTGTTACGTCAAAACCCACACTGATGATCCCCAGTAATTTCATCTATATATGGACTTAACCTTGAGAGAAGAATATTGGATAAAATTTTGTATGAAGTTGATAGCAATGATATCCCCCGATAATGCTACAGTCATTTTTATCACACTTCTTGTGAACTGGTACAATAATAGACTCCTTCCACTGATCAGGCAATTTTTCCTTATGCCAAATAGAAGTAATTAGATTGTGGATCTTAGAACGTAATATTTCGTCTGCTGCTTGAATAAGTTCTGCTGGAATTTGATCATTACCTGGCAATTTATACCGTTTCAATTTTGGAATAGCAATTTCAGCTTGAAAAGGGCTAGAACTAGGTACTAACAGCTCAGCTGTATGTATTTCTATCTGCCTAACATCACTGACCCTATGTACATTCAATAACTGAGAGAAGTAGTTCCTCCACCTATTGAAAATGGTATGGAAATCTATAAGCAGATCACCATTCTCATCTTTCACTAAGTTACTGCTAGGTTGGTAACCCCTCTTAAAGTCATTTGTATCTCAATACAAGTCTCTAACGTTCTTGTTCATAATTGAGGATAATTCTTAAACTAAATTATGGATATTTGAGGTATTAAATTGAAATGTTCAAATATAAATATTTATAATTATGTATCAATTTCAGTTTGTGTTATCTTAGTTAGTTAGTTAGTTAGTTAGTTAGAGAGGGTGGGTTTCCGCATGCACTTAGACCTGTATTGGTCCATTGTGCTTCCCTCTATGATTTCTACCAGTCTCTATATCCTACCGGTACTGGTGCTTACCATCAGTCCCGCCGAGCAAGTGAGTTTGGCCACTTGCTTAGCGGTATCTATAATGCTTCCCCCATCTATCAGAGGCCTTAGAGAATTGTTGGGCTGGAAACGTCCTGGAATGTGGCTCAGTGATCCCCTTTGGGGATATGAGGTTCTTTTACGTGCCGTAAAGTTACGACACGGGACACACAGCTTAAAGTCCCTCCCGGAGGACTTGTTCCCTGAATTTTTCCGCCCTTAAAAATTCGACGACCTCCGCCGGGTATTTGAACCCGCGTACCACGAGTCATGAGGTGGGAACGTTACCTCTAGATTACGGAGGCCACTTTGTGTTATCTTACTTTGAGGAAGGATAATAATTTATAAAGGTCTGAAAATGAAGTGCCCAGGAAAGTATTAGGGAAGTGAGGGATATTGCATAATGAGGAGCTCTGAGGTTTGTGCTGATCAGTTGGAACTTTAGGAAATTGAGTTCGAGGAGACCGTGATGTGGTGGCTTGGATGGGGAACACAAGAAATAAATGTAGAGTTTTAATAACTCTTAGAAAGTGGTCACTTGGAAGATAGGAATTGACATTGACATGACAAGATCTTAAAAGAAATGGGTTGTAAGGTGGAAAGATGGATGGAATTGACTATGGATCACATCCAGTACTGGGCTTTGATTAGTTTTCTGAGTGTAGTTCTTAACAGTTCTTTACTAAGCTAGAAATGTATTTTTTGCAGATGTGAAATGGCTGGACAGATCTTTTTATTTGTTTTCTGTGTTGAAAATATTTTGACCATCTCTGTGGTCTAGTGGTCAGAGTTCCAGGCTACAGATCCAGAGGTCCGGGTTCGATTCCCTGCGCTACCAGATTTTCTGAGAAGTAGTGGGTCTGGAACGGGTTCCACTCATTCTCGTGAGGATAATCGAGGAGGGATTTCAAGGAGATAGCAGCTCCAGTCTTGAAAACTGAAATTAACAGCCATGGGGATTCGATGTGCTGACCACACAACACCTTATAGCCACAAAAGTTGTCACTAACAAGGGGTGGTCACTTGGTCGGTATAGTTCACTTGTGGACTACAGCCACGGAGTTATTTTTTGTTTTATTGAAAGTTTTTGCATTGATTTTTTTTTTTCGTTCTGTGGGTTATTTAACAATGTCTTCAGTATTGACTATGTAGTGTCTAATATTAGAATGATGGTGATGAAATGGAAAGGTTTTGGAAGGATATATTAATGGCCTGTTTAAGGTACTATCTCAGTGTTTGTCTGGAGGGACTGAGGAAAACCACAGAAAACCTCAGGCTAGCCTGTGTCATGGCTGAAATTTGAACCAAGCAACTTCAAAATACAAGCCAAGTTTGACAGCAGGCATCAGGTTAAGCAAAATGGTGAATAGTTTGACTCTAGACTTTTACTGCGTATGGGTAATACACCAATAGGAAGAGACATTGACTTGATAAACTGGTATAAATATCAGCAATGCATAGTGATTTATCACATCTGTCCTGATGATAGAGACCGAAGAGATCTCTGAAAGACTGGCTTTTAGTTCAACATTGACATTGCTGATCCGCCCATGAAAATTTAGTGCATTTATTCACCATGAAAGCTTAAAATCATACAGTGAAGAGCTATGTTGTCTGTGATGGGACATCGTATAATTTGGTATGAAAGTACCAGAATGTTTGAGAACCTTCCTACCAGACTGCATGGCACCATACCCCAGAAGATAGAAATCTTGAATCAAAGCTGTATTTATTTTAATTTTTTGTCAATTTTTGTATCAGAACACTCAGAGTAATTTTAAGCTATTGGTTTACAAGATAGCCTCCATTATAATTTGCAGAAGTGTTCCATATTCTGAAAATCTAAATTTTCTTTTTGCAAATTTGCCTTAAATTCTTGTGATATTAGGTATTGTTTTTTCAGTATTAATTCCTGTGCAATTGAGTTATATCATTCTTTACCCATTGGTTATTCCTAGTAATATTAATCTCAGATTTGATGAGGTGTGTATGTGGGTCATATTCAGAACCCACATGCTTTTATGGGCCCAAATGATGACAATATTTGTGTGAAGCCAGCAGAAGTTATTAATTATATTAGTAACAAAAGATTTTGTGGAATAAAACTTCTTTATGGACTTGTCTAATTGTTTTGGACCATCAAAACCAACCTGCATATCATATTTTATGACTTTTATATTTTGCATCCTGTTGTGTATTATGTATTAAAGGTATATTTGAGAGTCATCAATACAGCAGTTGATAATAGAACTGATATTAAAATGTACAGTGCTGATGGAAATGTGTTTGTAAACCACCTGCTGATGATCTCTGCAGAGTGGAATGTGGTAATTACTGGATCGGATGAAGTTGACCTTCAACATAAAATAAAAAAAAACGTGATGAGAGAGCTAGAAATATGGTTTGAGAAAAATAATCTCATAATAAACTAAAAAAAGAAATCTGCTATGTCATTTCATCCAAAACAAATGAGAGTTCCATTAAGACCACAAATAAATTTTTAAAATATAGAAATTACCTATAAATCAGAACTGAGATTTTTAAGCATTTTTTTTAAACAAAAATCAGCGAACAATGCATATAATGAATTTCTAGATACTTTTCAGTATTATTATGAAATAGCAATACCAAAAAAATGGGTAAAAAGTAAACAGCATGAAAACAAATGGATTACCTCAGGTATAAGGGTATCAGGAAATAGACTTCGATTTCTTAATAGGCTAATGAAAGAAGGGAATATATCAGAAGAATTTAAAAAATACTATGGTCAGTACAAGAAAATTTATAACAAAGTGATCAGTGAAGCAAAAAAATTATCTAATAACATACAAATAAGAACTTCCGGAAATAAACCAAAGGCTATGTGGGACCTAATAAAGGAGGAGCTAGGCAGTCGGAAAAAAAATAAAAATATTGAAATAAACACTGAAGGAGGAAATACACAGGATCCAAAAATTATAGCAAATGTTTTCAATGAATATTATACAAGCATTGCACACAAAATCTTAAACGACAAATCATTATATACAAACAAAGAAGCTAATGACAATGCAGTAAAGTATAACAACAACAGTATGTTCTTAATCCCAACTACTGAAGAGGAAGTGGTTGGCATAATCAAAAGACTTGGTAACAAAAAATCAACAGGTATAGATGACATCCCAGAGTATATCATCAAAAAATGTTATCCCAAGATAATATCTGCCTTAACATATACAATAAATCAGTCACTCTCAACCGGATACTTCCCTGACCAGCTAAAAATGGCAAAAGTGAAACCCTTGTATAAGAAAGGAAGCGAAACGGATGTTGCGAATTATAGACCAGTATCACTAATTTCTGTTTTTTCAAAAATAATTGAAAAAATTATGCATAAAAGACTTTTATCCTTTTTAAATAACCACAGTTTAATTAGTAACAAACAGCATGGGTTTTGCAAAGGAAAAACAACAAAAACAGCAATTGCAGAGTTCATAGAAGGGGTCTATAAATCGCTAGATGAGAAAGAAGTAAGTATAGGGTTATTTCTGGATCTGTCAAAAGCGTTTGACCTAGTTAATCATGACATATTGCTAAGAAAGATGACAAGAATGGGAATACGAGGGGTTGCACTAAAATGGTTTCAAACATATCTAGAAAGAAGAGAACAGAAAGTGGAAATCACATATAGATGTAGAGAAGCGAATGTAAGCATTAACTATCTATCTCAGAGTAGACCCGTAAGACATGGAGTCCCACAAGGTTCTGTTCTTGGACCAATTTTATTTTTGCTATATATTAATGATCTAGAAGCAGGTATTGAACAAGGAAAACTAACGTTTTTTGCCGATGATATAAGTATTTTTATATCAGGAAATAGTGTTAATGTTGTCCAAAGGAAAATAAACGCATTAATAAATAAACTCACAGAATGGTTTGAAAGTAACAGATTAATTATTAATAAAGAAAAAACGATAGCAATATCCTTTCACCAACCACAAAAAATACAGCCAGAATGCCCACCAATAAAACTATATGATAAAGTCATCAATTATACAGAACATACCAAATTTTTGGGAATGTCGTTAGACAAAAAATTAAGCTGGTCCACACATACTCAAACACTAGCAAGTAAGTTATGTAAAATATGTTTTGGCTTGCGAATAGTCAAAAAAGTATCAGGATTAGAGACTGTTCTTGCTTTATACTATGCGTATTTTCAATCCCTGCTATCATATGGATTGATATTCTGGGGCAATTCAGCGAATGCAAAATTGATCTTTAAGATACAAAAGAGAGCTATTAGAACTATAATGCAAATACAAAAAACAACCAGCTGCAAACAATATTTTAAATTGTTACATATATTACCTCTACCAAGTCTGTATATATATGAAATATTAGTTTACATGAAATCCAACTTGAATGTTTTCATCACTAATTCAGCAGTACACTCACACAATACAAGAAAAAAAGACAACTTATTCATAGTTCCATGTAGGACGAGTCTGTGTAAAAACAACTTCAATAATATTGGACTTCGTCTTTTAAACCACTTGCCGCAATATATAAAGGACATACCAGCACTATACAAATTTAAAAAGACTTTGAAAACATTTCTCCTTGAACATTGTTTTTATAGTATAGATGAATTCTTCTTGTTTGGGGATAAATCCTAGTTAATATCAATATTACCAGATAATTCAAGAATAAGTGACTTGTTGAGCTTATACCAGCATGCTATGAATGTATACTGCGCAGTTCTCTTCTGCTTAAAGGAATCAAGACACCATGTTGGATGTGATAGAAAGGACATCATGAGATGGAGGGACGTCTACGTAGGCCGCTTAGAGAGAGATAGAGAATACCAGGCCATCAAGAAGGGCACCAATCTGCTGAGAACATCACATTAGCTATCAATATCATTATTCTAAGGCCACGCCATAGCTTAAGCGATTAGTCGCTGGCTTCCCACCACTGTGATCTGAGCAAGTGGGATTTGTGATGGACAAAATGGCGCTGGGGCAGGTTTCCTCCGAGTACTTCGGTTTCCCCTGCCAATGTTCATTCCATCAAATTCTCCACAAATAAGAATGTAAAAAATTGTAACTATTGTAATTTTAATCTACTTATATATCAAATTGTTAATATTCAGAATTAACTTGACTTGTCATATATCATGTACAATGATCTACAGTGACGAAATAAATCAATCAATCAATCAATAAGTAGTTACATCACAGAAAACCTAAAATGGGGTGCCCATGCTCGATTTTTAAAAACTAAGCTATGCAAAGTAGTTTATATGATAAAAACATTAAAAGAAATTATAAGCCTATATATGATAAGAAATATCTACTTTTCAAATTTCAAGTCTTGTCTGCTGTACAGTATTATATTATGAGGAGGTGATAACAAATGTGACAAACTCTTTAAACTGCAAAAAAGGTCCTTCGAATTATCAGTAGGGTTAATAATCAAATGTAATGCCACAAATTTTTAAAGATTATAATATTTTAACATTGGCTGTGCTATACATTTTTGAAGTTATATGTTTTATTAAAAAAGGTAAAGACTTTATGGCAAAAAATGTGGCCATCAGTAATTACAACACGCAAAGAAAACTAAATCTACATGTAAATCATTGCAATACAGTTCTTTTTAAAAAAAAGTGTCATAAATATGTGTACACCTTATATAATAAGGTCCCTGAGCAGATAAAATTAAAAAAAGAAATAACTGTTTTAAGAGGAACTTAAAATCCTTTCTGTTGAAACATTCCATTTATTCTGTTGATGAATTTATGTCCATTTAATTCTGAAGTGAGTGTGTTATGGTTGTATGTTATGACAAATATCTTGTCCTCACTTAATCTATAAAAAAATTGTTGGATGTTCGCTTATAGTATTGTTGACTCATGTACGATATGTATGTTATATTAATATGTAGTTATTGACTTGTTCTATATCTGGAGGTTGTATCTCCAAATATGGATTCTTGGAACAAATAAATTGATTGATTAATTGATTGATTGTAGTGGTATGTAAAAAATACGTGAATATTAAACATTTTAATATTGTCTTATTATCAGTTGTTTTGGTGACTCTCAAATATACCTTTAATATTTTATGACTCCTGAGTTGCCAAACTTCTAACTTAATCTTTGAAGCAGATTGAATGTGTTGGGAGGTAGAGGATATATGATAACTGGATGCAGTTTATATTTTTACTTTTGTTCATTGTTTTTGCATTCTTGTGTCCACATCTACATTGTACATCTTTTATATTTTTTGTCTGATTTTATATATATTAAATTCTGGTGTTTGTTTAGTTCTTCATAATACTCCACTGCCCATTTACACTGCTGGGCATGCCATGAGTTGGGCACTACAATGTGCGAAAGGTGTTGCCTATCTTCACAACATGAAACCGAAAGCTTTAATACACAGGTAATGCTGTTTTCTATACAGAATTTCAAAATATAATCTAAAATGTTTTGTTTGCATGAAGAGTAAATAATATATGAATCAGTCTTTTATACTCTGCATGAGGGACTTTTATGCTCCGTTGTCATTAGTATGTAAAATTTCATATAACTGAATAATGTACTATAGAAGTAGCAGTCACGGTATTCTGTTTCTTTGTACTTTGTTTCCTGATGTGGACTGAAATAAGCTGCAAATGCTGTTTAATTTGTTATTTTAAATTGCATATATTCATATTATCTGGTTTTCTGTTGCAGTGATTAATGTTTTTCTGATTTGTTTTCGTACATACGAGTGTAGTGATCAGTAGTTAGCACCACTGGCTTCAATTTCGGAAGTCCTAGTTTGAATTCTGGTACAGGGACCGACTGTAATAAGTAATGTTTTTTGTGGGTTTTCCTAATTATTCCAGGTTTTTTTTTTAATTGCTAGTGGGTTGGGGCTAAGTCCCTTGTACTGCGGCCACTTCTGGCCTATTGTACCAGCCCCAGATGGTAGGAGAGGGTGATTGTGGAGCAATTGGTGGAATGAAGATTGGCAGGGGAAACCAAAGTACTCGGAGAAAACCTGCCCCAGTGCCACTTTGTCCACCACAAATCCCACTTGACCAGACACGGGATCGAAGCCGGACCACCGCGTTGGGAAGCCAACGACTAACCACTTGAGCTATGGCACGGTCTGTTCCAGGTTAATACTGGATAGCACCTTAAAAATATACATTTCCATTCCTTTCTCATCTTCCCACATGAGGATTGAAAAATGTTTGGATATCTGTTGGCCAAATATATATTTTGGTCATCAGGAAGAGGTAGATCAGTATTTTGTGGCACTAGCTATGGCTTTTTACTCTGCTTAGCGTACGAGATTGAGGTTTTTCCTGTTATGGAGTTTGTCCTAATCACATGGGTCGGACATAAGATAATGGGGGGGGGGGGACAGAATTTGAATTTAAAATATTAGTTGTTTTAATATACTAATTGTGTTGAGCTTAATGTCTTTGGATGTGGTTGACCATTTCCCCTGTTTCACAAGTGACAAAATGAGCTTGCCAAAACTCCAAACTCCCAACTCCGGTATGCCAAATGGAATTAAGTTACCAGCCAAAATTTTTCTAGTGCCACTGGTTATCAGGTGACCATAGTCTTCAGTCACTGCTCTTACAGTGCCATTTCTCATTCAATAACCTGTACATCTCACGAAGGATTGTTAACTGAACATAAAGAATCGCCGTTTTTTCTTAATGAATATTGTGTTCAGTGTCCATAATATTTTGTGCTGCTGGGATTCTTATATTTAAGAAATACTTACATAGCAGCAAAACCTTCTGTGTGTATGTGTCCAATGTGAATTTAGTTATATGCATAAAAGTAAACATGAACAGCCACTTTTTGAAGGCAGAAAATTTGATTAAATGCATTCTGTGAAACATGCTGTAGTAGCATATGAAGTTTGCTTGATGCCTAACATTTTGTCAATATTTTATCTCTTACCTAATATTTCACTGATATTTCTTATTGAAGTCTAACTTTCTGTTTTTAATGTACTTTAGTGCCTAACTTGCTGATAATATTTTATTATTCTACACCGTTTGTAACTAAGCGTCACAAGGGTTTTCTCTCATTTTTGGTGTGTTCATTGTATGTGTTGTAGGGATCTAAAACCACCAAACCTTCTGCTTATTATGGGTGGTAAGGTGCTCAAGATTTGTGATTTTGGAACAGCATGTGATAAGAAGACATACATGACTAATAACAAAGGAAGTGCTGCTTGGATGGCACCAGAAGTGTTTGAAGGTAAATTTACTTGTATCAGAAACATAATTTATAAGAGCAGTGGGAAAATCCATGTTTATATCAGGTGTCCTTTTCACTTAAATGAAATTTTATAAAATCTCCTGACAGTGTTATCCTTTAATATTAGAGCAAAGTTCATATTGATGTAACAAATCTTGACATATGTTAAAAGCCCACAGCATGTGATTTTTAGAGTAGCGTTCCGGGTTTTGATCTGTGCAGTATCCACATAGATTGTTTTTGTAGAATGTTCTTTAAGTTTTTTCAGAAAGAAAAATTACATGTGGGGAACTCGGTGAAATAATCATGTGTTAGTGTAATCAGACTGCCACAATATTGGTGCTGCATTAACTAGTGCAGAGTTCATTGCTGTGATTCGTGGTAGGTTTGGTTCTGTCACCAATTTGCTCTTGCATTCATGTGTCCATCCATGGTGAGACATAGAAGATGTACTGTACTTAATCTGTAGGATGACAGTACAGAGAATTCAGTGGGATGAAAAACTAATTAGTAGAGATCTATACTGGTCACATTTCCTCAGGTCTGAATGTGTGTTTCTGTTTTATCACTGGGGAAATTTGAAACTGGAAGTGTACAAAAATAATGAACCCATATTTTAGGCTTTACAATCAATATTTAGAATGCCATCCTAGAAATTACAGAAGGTGACCTTCAGCATGTTCCACAGAATATGTTACATGGTATGAAATATTAGACTGAATTGTTTGCTTACTTATAATCTGTTTAATGATGCACTATGTAGCTCATACTGTATAGTGTCAAATGGTACATGAGATGTTTCAAATCACTTCTAGGTCAGTATCTTAAACTGGCCATGACTACACAGTTTCCTTTTTGATTTTCATTTATCGTGAGCTTTGCAACTGCTGTACGGACCATAAATTTAATGAACAATGTGGATTTCACTTATGTTGTTGCTAGATGTTTTGCTGTCACTACAGGCTCCAACTACACAGAAAAGTGTGATGTCTTCAGTTGGGGCATTATACTTTGGGAAGTCCTGAGTCGCAGGAAACCTTTTGATGATATTGGGGGCTCAGCATTTCGCATTATGTGGGCTGTCCACACAGGTGAACGGCCACCACTAATCAGTGGCTGTCCGAAACCAATAGAGCAACTGATGACAAGGTGAGGCAGTTAAATTAAACATCTTTGAATACTTTCGTAGACACACCTTGTTTAGTGAAGTTAAAGCATTCTTTAAAATTTGTGTATATTGTAATAGTCTGCTGTATGGTAATACATCTTATTTGCCTTTTGGTGGTATATTTGTTGTTAGAATTCTGGCCTGGTGATCAGTTTTTTTGCCAAAGATTCTTGTGGTTTTCTTTACTTCCTCATTAAAAGCATGAACTAGGTTAGACTCATCTCATATTAAATTTTGTATTTTGTGTAGTTAACATCGTACTGTTCTATAATGCTTTATTTTGCTTATAACATTTCTTCCATTGATTATTGCTGGATCATACATGATGGCACTTTTGGGTGTCAGATTTTATAGTGATTAGCAACATCCTGCCTCCCCCTATTTATGGAAATTTTTTTCATTTTATTTATGTGGTGCTATCAAAAAGTTCCCAAAATTTGAATTGTGCGCGCAAATGGTTATGAGTACATCAAAATACTGCTAGGTGCCTCCCCATGCACCCTTCTTGAATCAGTGTGGCAAGCGGTGTTGAGTTGAGTGGTTGGGTTTATTGTTGGTGAACGTATTTCCATCGTGTTTCCGTGAGTTTGCGGTTTTGCAGTGGTTGACCTGAGAGAGCAGTGTGTATAAAGTTTTGTTTTAAACATGGGAAAACTGCTACAGAAACGCATCAAATGTTGAAGCAAGCTTTTGGTGACAACAGTTTAGGCCAGACACAAACTTACGACTGGTATAAACGTTTAAAAAATAGCTGAACATTGACTGATGATGATGATGATGATGCTAGTTCGGGACGGCTTTCAACTGGCACTACACCAGGAAATGTCATGAAAGTTAGGGATCTGATTCTGCAAGATTGTAGACTGACCATCCAAGACCTCTGTAACACCTTGGGGCTAAGTTATGGTACATGTCAACGAATTTTGTTAGAGGAACTGAACATGAAGATTGTGGCAAAGTTTGTGCTATGACTGCTGCAAAATGAACAGAAGCATCATCTCTTGGAAGTCTGCAGGGAACTTCAACAACAGCTTCAAGAGGTCCAAACTTTCTTTCAAAGGTTGTGACTGGTGACAAAAGTTGGGTTCATATTTACTACCCTGAAAGTAAGCAGCAATCGTCACAATGGAAGAGCTCTTCTTCACCTCAGCCAAAAAGAAGCTCGACAAGTCAAGAGCAATATTAAGTCCATGTTGATCTGTTTTTGTTTTTTTTTATATTGATGAGATTGTTCATAAGGAGTTCGTCCCTCCTGGTCAGACAATCAATAAAGAGTTCTATCGTGATGTTCTACGGTGTTTGAGGGCGGTAATGAGGAGAAAACGTCCAGAGAAGTGGCGCACAAATGACTGGGTACTCCACCATGACAGTGCGCAACCGCATACATCTTACATTTTGCAGGAATTTTTGGCTAAAAACAAGATGGCAGTCATTCCCCACCCACTGTACTCGCCAGACTTAGCTCCATGCGACTTCTTTCTCTTCCCCAAGATGAATATCAAGTTGAAGGGGCCATGATTTGATACAGTTGAGGAAATTCAAGCTGAAACGCAGACGGTATTAAACACTCTAACAAAGAAAGACTTCCAGGATGCATTTCAAAAGTGGCAGAAATGCTGGGATCGGTGTATGCGCCCCCAAGGGGTCTACTTTGAAGATGATGGTGCAGAATAAGATCCAGGTAAGACGTAATAGTTTTTATTAATATATTTCAGGAACTTTTGGGTAGCACCACATATTATATTTTCATAGTGAATTCAGTTAGTTGTTATATAGCCTTTTACTTTGCATAGAAACTTGCCATCTTTTAAGCTTGTGTCTTTCATCTCATAATTCTTCCTCCCAAATTCTGAACCCAGCATTTGTGCTGTGGGAGAGGGAATCATTGGGTAAGAGATGGCCTGTTGGAGTGATATGGGATGACCCAGCAGGAAACATGGAAATGTTGGCTAACAGACTGTGGTGAAACTGAGAGGCCTAACAAGCCATCAGTGAATTGAAGAATGCTTTCAAACGATGAAAATGTAATTTTTACTTCTGTGTAAAAATGTCCATAATTACACAAGATTGTAATTTTGTGATCTGTACCTTTGAGCATTCCACTAGTTATAAAAGTATGTGGATTGGCAATTATTACGATATTTCTTATATGCCAGTATCACATTAAATATTTAAAATGTGCCATTGCTGTGTAATATGGTTGTGAATCCTTACAGGATTTCTCTCTTTGAAGGTGAGAACTTTTGTCTTTAAGTTATTTTAACACTATATGGTTTTGTCTTTCATTTTGTGACTAACGTAAATCTTTTAAATATATGCTGTCTTAGTTGCTGGGATAAAAACCCCGCCAGTCGCCCCTCCATGGATGAAGTGGTACATATAATGAGCCAACTGTTGCCCTTCTTCAGTGGGTATGAAGAACCTGTACAGTATCCATCAGAAGTCTCAGCCCCCGTATCAGAAGGTGAGATGTCATTTTCATTATGAATTACAATAGTGATCAGCGTGAAAGTAGTATTGATTTAATTGAGTGGTCAGGCAAGATTATGCTCCATTGGGTGCCTGTATATTTCACCAGAAAGAAATGCGTTAACTAAAATGTTGGCATGTGATTTAATTTGTAAGGCAACTCCCATCCCATTTTTAAATTAACATTAGTAACTCTTTGGTTGGAATGAAGCGAAAGTTCAAACAATTAACTCTTCTAAAGGAAAATTTCAAATATTTCACCAAACAGTACATGTCAGTGGTTAGTACCACTGCTTTATATGTGGGAGAGTCTGAATCTGATCCTCAGCCCTATGCGCAGTTTTCTTTGGCTGAAGCTTTTCATGGATTTCCTCAGTCCCTCTGGACAAATATTGTGATATAGGCTGTGACTGCTTTTTTCCTCATCCCAATTTATCAGTCACACTCATCTTTCTGCGTAATATGTGCAGTTGAAAAAACGTTAAACCAACAAAGGTATTTAATCTTTATACCTTCCTGTATCTTTTAAGGTATTGTTTCATCTTGCAGGCTAAATAAAAGCTACCTTTCTAATTGATTTAGCCCTTACAAAATAAGATAATGATTATATGGAGATGGTGGGTAGTGGAACCGTTTTAGTGATGAGAATATACAAAGTGATTTGTTGAGTAAAACGTACCTATTGTTTCTCTGCATAGTTTTTTATTTAATTTAATAAAGTTCTTCTATTTTATTATTATGGTTCTCAGCTTTTATCACAGAACCACCAATCCTCAGCCATTTCTGCTGAAAAGAAACAGCAATTGAATTAGCAGAGAAAAGACACTGTCTTTATGTAATTTTCAGGAAGCTTTCAGAATGTGAGTCTCATGATGAACTCCACATTCAGCTTGATCATATTCTTGGTTTTCAGCTTGGATCACTCCACAGACCATTTATAGGACCCCCCACAGACCACCTGTGGTCAACTTAGATTCAGGTAAATACAGCGACTAAATTCTCAGAAACACAAATGACAGAATTTTGACAGTTGTCAGAAGTCTATAAGGAAATGTAGTTACAAGGTGGAAACTGTTACCATATTTACTTTTTTAGTTTACACCTGCATAATTCATGCACCCATGCTTTCACACAGTAATTTTTGGGAGAAACATTGCCGTATTTTTATTTCTGATAAAATTTTGAGCAGTGCTTGATTTTTACACAAAATGTGATTAAAGTCAAATGGAGTATGGCAACATGGTATGGAAACCCTAATCACATTTTCTGTGAAAATTGTGCATAAGTGAAAATTTTGTCTCAGTGTTAGTGAATTTCATGATGGAATCCATAGGTGGCAAGTATCCTTGCTATGTTTCCATATCACATTTAATCCTAATCTCATTTTCTGCAAAACTTCTTAATCAGTGAAAGCACTCTCAATGGACAATTTTTTCTCAGTATTTGTCAACAGATTGCATGATAAAGTCCACAGTTATGAATATTTATACCACCTTGCCACATCTTATTCATTGTTAATCACATTTTGTGTAAAAATTGTGCAATGGTCAAGAATTGGGGGGTGGGGGTGGCGGGGTGTTGTCTTGAGTCTTTGGAACCTTTTGGCGGAATATGTAGGTGCAGATATCCATAATGTGTTGCCACATTGGCTTCAACTTAAACACACTTTCCTCTAAAGTTATGCTTTTTTTTTATTGCTAGTGAGGGTGGGACTAAGTCCCTCGTACTGCGGCCACTTCTGGCCTATTGTACCAGCCCCATATGATAGGTGAGGGTGATTGTGGAGCAATTGGTGGAATGAAGACTGGCAGGGGAAACCGAAGTACTGGGAGAAAACCTGCCCCAGTGCCACTTTGTCCACCACAAATCCCACTTTACCACACCCGGGATTGAACCTGGGCTGCTGCCGTGGGAAGCCAGCGACTAACCGCTTGAGCTATGGCGTGGCCAAAAAATTATGCGTTAGTCAGAATTTTGTTAAGGAGCATTTTCACCTCAATGTTCATCAAGGATTTGCATGGTGGAATATGTAGGCACAGATATCCATACCATGTTGCCACATTGTACTCAGATTTAATTGCATTTCCCATTAAAATTATATCTTACTAGAAGTTTCATTAAGGGGCATTTTTGTCTCGGGCTTCATCAGTTCATCACTTGGTGGAGGCCATAGGGGGGAATGTCCATACCATGTTGTTATATTGCCTGCAGTTGTAAGCACTTCAGTCTAACATGTAAAATTATGCTCTGAAAGGTAATCTTTTGCATATGTTATGCACCACATCTACCAGACATGATTTCTGGAACAATAAAGAATGTAAATTATAAGAGTAAATATGGCAACAAACTGCAATAGTTTTACAAAACAGTTCTTTTGGAAAGGCTGTATGAAAGACATCCGTGTATTAAACTCCTGCTGATCGTGCTTTTTCTTCATTTTAATTTAGTCATATTATGTAAACTTAGCAACCTAATTTCATTTAAGACATTTGTTCTTGTTTTGCAGAATGTTAACATTTGTATGTTGCTGTTGTCTGCCGAACACATGGCACAGTTTTAGATCATTTTAAGACAACTATAATATGTAGAAATTGTGAATTTTCAATAAGTGGTGTGAAAGTTTTCATTATTATTGCCATTTGCTGTATCAATTTGCCTTCAATAAATCCGAAAACAACTATTTTTTATTTCTGTGCTCCTGATCTACGTAATTAGGTTTATAACAATCAGAAATGAATTGCTTACAGGGTTGATGACTTGGGTTTGATTCCAAATTTGGGCAGAAGTTTTTTTTTATGTCACTACATCCATATTAATTCTGGGTCTGATATCTCCTCATATTCAGAGGGTACCATGGCACTTTCTCCAGGATGAAAGTTGGTCAGAGTATGAAGCTGACCATGCACCATCATCAAGTGCCAGGATCCAGAATATGTGTGACTTACTTTCATTGCCTCCATATTCCTTCATGGAATGACATTTGGCTTCATTGGCAACTTTACCATCACCTTAACATATGTACTTTTTTTCATTCCTCTTTTATTTCTTAAAGAGATAATGGTTAAAAATAAATCTTATTTTTTTGTTTATTCGGGTGTCTTTTATATTATTATGAATTTATTATTTCGTTTTCTAAAATGATTTTTAAAATGTTAAGTTTTCACATTTGTCACTATGCATTTCCGCCAGTTGATTGACTGACTGACGGCAGCCAACTGACTGACTACTGAACTAGTAAACTAACCAACTAACAGATGGTCACCTAACTCTCTGGCGTGGCTACGCCATAGCTCAAGTGGTTAGTCGCTGGCTTCCCACCGTGGTGGCCTGGGTTTGATCCAGGATCTAGTCAAGTGGGATTTGTGGTGGACAAACTGGCGCTGGTTTCCCTTCGGTTTCCCTTGCCAATCTTCATTCCACCAATTGCTCCATAATCAGCCTCACATATCATCTGGGGTTGGTACAATGGGCCAGAAGTGGCTGCAGTATAAGGAACTTAGTCCCACCCCACTAGCAATAAAAGAAAGGTATTAGAACCAAAAAATGTAATTAGTCATGGACCAATGTGTCCTACATTTAATTTTGGTTCAAGTCTTGCTGAAGTTATAAAGTATTCATAATCTCTTTCACTTGTATTGTTTATGGTGATGAGTATATCAGTAGCGTAAAGGCAGTTTTACAGAATATAGGAATTCTGCATTTAATTCTGCAGTAAAATAATACGCTTTACTGCTTGCACCAAATGGTACATCACATGTATTGTTTCCTCATAAGTATAAATTTTCCACCAGGTAATAACGTGAACGCTCATGAATGTGCTACCAGTAGATTAATTTGAAACTAATACTCATGTTAATGACTCACAGCTGATTTGTGTTCATGCCTTTGTTCAGCAATGTGAAAATCTGTGCATTCTCACTAGATAATCCTGAATGGCATAGAAATGTGAGAGACTCATGTTTAATTCCAACCTAAGACAACAAAATTATCACTTTAATTACATTATTTGTTGCATACAGTGGTTTATTAGTTACTTTCATAATTCTCTTTTTGACATTGTTATGTCGTCACTTCTTGTATTCTTTCAAAGAAATGTTATTCAGAATATGCGTGAAACACCATATGTTACAGAAAGTGACAACACTGAAGAAGATAACAGTGGTTCCGATACACTAGATTCACAGTTGGAACTTAGGAGTACCTTCGGTGATGAATCACGTAAGTATAAATTGTCGTCATACTTGATTATTCTACTTATACAACTTCTTTTGGCTTATTTTGGACTTCATCCATTGTCTAGTATGTATGGTATGTGTGGTATGTATGGTCCAGTGATTGAGACTGGCTCTTTCTAATGGGCCCAACTGAGTAGGTTTATCCTTCCCTACTCACCTGAAGACGGAGACAGATCCAGTCTCCGAAATGTCATGGTCTTTTGTCTTTTTCATACTAGACGATGGATGAAGTCCAAAATAAGCCAAATGAAGTACAGTATACACCATCATCAGAATCCTTTCAAGTCTACTTTTACAACCTTTGTTCATAAAGTTCCAAGACTGAGTCTGTAAAAAATACAGAATTGACTTATTAAGTAATGGTTCCTGTCCCCTTCAAAGTAGTCCCCTCCGCAGTCTCTACCGCTGCCAGCATTTCGGCAAGTCCTGGAAGCAGCTGGTGAATGCCTCTTTTGGAATGGCTGTGAGCTCCATTGTCACAGCCTCTTGAATAGCCTCTATATTCCCATGTTGTCATCGTTTTAGCATTTTTTTTCAGTCATGGAAGCAGAAAAAAATTGCATAGAGAGAGTCAGGGAAGTACTGGGGATGTTTTAAGCACAGTAACGTTGTGTTTAGCAAGAAAGATGTATGAATGTGTAAGGGGTGGGCCTTCTTGGCCCTTGCACCGCGACCACAGTGATCTATTAAGAAAGATGTAAGTAAGGGTGGAGCATGTGACATGATGTTCCTAATTTGACAGGGAAGAGTGAGAGCATGAGAATTACACACTGACATGATTTATGCGATTAAATATAGCATTTGTCACTGCAGACATTAGTGCCAAATAACTTCTGAACAGGTCATTTTTCTTACTTCACAGAAATTCAGGTTGCTCCATCTGCCTTGAATGGTTCACTGGGTGCAGGCACCACAGTGACTAGGGAAGAACAGGAGCGGCTCTCTACTCCTCTCCATATTCATGTGGACCCTGTAAGTATCTTGCACAGGAATTTTGATGAATGAAGGCCAACAACTAATTTCACTTGCCTTCAGTCTGTGAGTTTCATGTTTTCACAACAGTGTCAGAAGAATACTATCTTGTGGGACTTGATACAGTGAGACTGGTAGAAATTTATCGACATGTAAAAGGAATGTACTGCTTACATCTTCAGGATTGTAGACTAAGATGAGAAAGCTGGAAACATTTGCTTGGTTCCTTGGGTAACAGGCATGAAACAGTTACTGAAAATAATTGAACACTGTGGGGAAACTACAGCTCTTGCTGTTGTAGGACGGAAAAGTTACTGATTAAATCAGTTAATAGGCTTGTAGAATGATGCTGGTATACTCGTATGTATAGATCGAGGCCAGTCGTCTGGTATACTTTCCACTAATTTGTCTTGCCCTCCTTTAAAATTAATATTGCTTTGATATTGATATATGTTGAAGACTTTTGCAAGAATGTTTTTACTACAATAATTGGAGTTGCTTTGATTGTCACCTCTGCAGGAGGCAGGAAGGAGGTCAGAAACTGAATTGATTTTTCTACCTTATCACATAAATTATCTTTTGTGATGACAGTGATGATCCTTTCACTTTCATAATGGCAAGAATTCTCTTGTTCAGTTTTATAACTATTTACTTTCCATTAAATGTTGTGTACCACAGAGTTTTTGGTTAATCGCATAAGTCATGGCTTAATTCAGCCATCCATTCCCAGCCATAGATTTTAAGTATGTTTGATTTTTCATTTGCATCCATATTTGCTAACTGTGATTTTATGTATTTTGGTTTTTAACTCATGTATCCATAAGAAATCAGTTGCTTCCCTTTATGAGATCTGCATAATCATTGTTGTTATCATGAACTTCATCCCTCAGTAAATTAATGTCTAAGATAAGTAATAAAACTGGTATTTCATTGTTTTAGTTAGTAAATGGCTTGATTATATTTTCTGTTTAATGAAGGCATAGCCATACTTATTAACCTTAGATAAATACTGACAGTGTGTGCAGTTCCCATAATCCCAGATTCCCATAAGGCCTTGGTCTCTCCAACTGTATTGAGTTTCAGGAACATAGTTGCCTGACTTGTGAAGGGTTTCTGTACTCCACTTGTAATGAACTTATGCCTTTGCATGTTGTTATTTTAACTTACACTCTTTACAGACATCTATAATATTGTTCTTCATCACAGATTAGTTGAGGAAAAGGTTATATGGCATGAGCTCTTTTTGATGCTGACCATAGACTTTATCCTAAATGTGTTGAGACCCAAGCTAAAGACTTCAAAGATATGAATTATATTGAAATCATGAAGTTTACTGTCTTCTGGGATGTTATGCTCTGTAGTGGTGTAGAAAGATAGCATCATTTTGGAGGAGCTGCCACCATTTTCAGGATGGAAGAACAAGCTGTGCATGAAAACAAGAGTGCATATGTATGGAGAGCAAGAAAGGGAACCAACATGGGAGACAATAGTCACTAAAATTGTGGGATTAAACATGGGAAAGAGAGTTTGTTTTTGTTATCATTATTATTACTTTGTTTGTATTTATGTTGACTCTGTAATTGGTCACTGGCTGTTGAGCTCAGCATGTAAATAAGTAAATAACTGAATGGAACTGAATTGGAGTATTATTATTATTATGGAGAAAATTTTAGGGGGAGATTGGATGGTGTGCTGTTTCCTTTTGGCCTGAATTGAGCCCTGTTTCCTCTCTCTGTTATCTATCTAAAAGTTGTTTTCATATACAACCTTATGTTCTCCACTGACGATGGAGGAGGAAGGTTCCTCCAGAACTTTGGTACCTTGCCATCAGATTACATGGCATTGCATCCCATGAGACTAGTAATCTTTTTAATCTTCACATTCATTGCCATGAGCACCATAGATGTAATATGTATTAAAACATTTGGAAAAAAATATATGCATATTGGTTATTGTACCAATGCCTCAGCATATACCACATTATTTTGAATATGAGACACCCTCAAATTTAAGATGCATCCAGTTTTTTAATTTAAAGGGAAAAACATTGTGCATTCCTCAAATTTAAGATGCACCTCAATTTTTCAATTGGAAAAAAATGTGAAAAATGTGTGTATTATATTCAAAGTAATGCTGTATATCTGCCAGTCATTTACTAAAACTCCCTACCCATGCTCTCATGCTGTTCTTCATACAAATTTTAATAGATCGTATTTAAAAATATAGCCATATGTGTTAAGCACTGTTGCTAAATATTGACTTTGTGATTCAGTTTTAAAGCTGTAAAATATACTCACCGCCAGGTTCTGTTCATCCAGGTGTTGCATGTGGATAGGTGTATTTCTGGTGTCTTGGTTTCAACTGTGGAGTACATGTAGTAAAACTGTTGAACTAAATCTTTTTGTAAGTTTTGAGGTTTTCACGGCGATGACTATGAAGAAAGTTGTCTTCTGGGTTTTGGCGCCGTGTATTTTTCGTTTTGGCCGACGTTTCGGAGGAACGTATCACGTCCATCTTCAGAGCAGGTGAATGGCTTGTGAATGCAGAGAGCAATAGCTGTAATGATTAGGAAGTGAAAGGCGCTGCTATATACGAAGTAGGCAGGGGGGGGGTGGTTAGGGAGAGCGGACCAATAGGAGCAGTGGAGAGCGATTAAGGCCATATATGGTGTTGTGTGCTAAGGGAAGGGGGGGGAAGGGCAAGTGAATCCAGGAAACTTGAGGTCAATAGCACTTGGAGGTTGCGGTTAGACAAGAAGAACCGGTTGGCTGGGGACAGGCTACTGACATCAATGACATGATTACAGGGGACAGGCTACTGACGTCAATGACATGACAAAGAAAGAAATCTTTCTGATTTGTCTTGTGATACTGGTGATGGGGAACTGAAATGACTGATGTTCTCGCAGGATGCGTGGACATTAGAAGGGGACGCATGGCAACAAAATGGTTCAGGGCTTGAGAACACATTATCAACATCATCTGGTCCAGTTCACATGGAGATCCGTAACAGGCCGGGACTGGATAGGATGGTTGTCACTTCTAACAGTCCCCAACATCATATGCAGGATCGGCTACAAGAGCAACCTGATCAATTTCAGGCCCCAGCTGGCACTGGTGAGTCACATGCTTACTTGCTGCTATTTGTATGTGATTTCAGTGTGTTTCACAGATTTTTGTGCTTAATTGTTCTTTCCCAGCAGAATTTTGTCTGTGATATGCTTTAAATTCTAGGAGTGCTGTAGAAGTGTTAGTATCTGAATCTTATTTATTTCTTTGTGGAAATTAGATATTCTGGATGTAACATACTGCAACTGAGACCCTCTTAATCAGATTTTTCTATGTCTCTGTTATCCCTCAAAACAGAAAAGCATAACTGCATTCATGTGGAGAATACGAGATTTTACAGTAGTTCAGAGTTGACAGTAAGCTACAGGTCTTCTCTGTTGGCTGCCATCATATTCACTACCATCATGGTCATCAGCATTGTTGTCATTGATATTATTGTCCTCATCATTGTTAATTCTCTTCTCAGGTTGTTACATTGTGTGGTTGTAGGTGATGTGCAGATGTTTTTGAAGTATGTGCTGCCTCCACTTTGGAGGTGCATGCTCTCCATTTTCAGGTTGGAGGCAACAAGTACCTCCAAAATGTTGGCTCATTGCACACAGCCACACAGTGCAACAACTCAAGAACAGAATCAACATCAATGATTAATGACCATGAAAGCCTAAAATCAGTAATTGTTATTGCCACCTTCTTGTTGGAAGCAAATTGAATGCCACCATATTTTATATGTGGCTTACTTTACTCCTGCAGCTAGGAAGAGGGGTGGAAGAAAATAGGAATGAAAGAAATACTAAAATGGGAAGTTCTGGGAAGACTGTTGGGTTTGAGGTTCTCACAGCAGTGACTGTGAAGGGTTCTATCTTCTGTGAGAACTCACAACACCCACTTCCCTTCATATGTTTCTCTGTTCTGTGGGGCAAGCATAAATTATTAATGCAATTTGTAATATACTTCTATGCATAAGTTGTATGAATTTGGATTGTGGCTTAAATTTAGCCAGATATAACCTCAAATTCTGCCCGATCATATTTGTAATTATTAAGATGTAAAACATGTTCCGTACAGATATTGTACACTGAATTATGATTTATCAACATGCCTAGCTCCATTAGTTCATTAGTTATTATAAGCAAACAAAAGGCTAAAAATAGGTTTTGTATGGTTATATATACTAATTCATTAACAGAAGTAGACTTTTTCAAAGACACAAATTTTGGGACTGTGGTCTGTGTGAGTCTAGTGTTGCTGCCATCTATGAAGTTTGCATGGCTGCCATAGTAACATTATTGTGGCAACAAATTAGAAAGTGTAATTGGTCCGTGTGTACCTCTGAGACATGTTTGTACCAATTTTACTGCAATCCTGTCAGTTTATTCAAAAGTCATTACAGAGGGGCAGACCTATAATACCATAAACTTGTTTTTTTTATACAAAGTAAGGACAGGAGGTTTGGACCAAAGAAATTATTGATAAGATTAATGTGTCCTGCTCTGTCAATATTTAGCCAGATTTATCACATAATATGCCCCTCATGAGCAGTATTTAAATTTATTTCTAGTCATATACAAGGGTTGGATAAAAAGTAGGGATAACACTGCTGTAATGTGAAAGATGTGTGTCAGGTGGCACTGGCGCCATCTGTAGCTGATAGCAGAAGTTCAGTTGAAGTAGTGCAATGAGTGGCTCTGGTTGTGTTTCACTGAGTTGCGTTGTGCATCGTCTTGAAGTGTGGGAGCCCAGTTCAAGCACCCTAACAACATGTTTACGAAACAAGAACAGTGCTCCTGGATAAAAATTGAAGTTGCACAAGGTCATAGTACACAAAACTATTATCAGGGACTGCGAGAAGCATGTGGTGATGCTGCTTTGCCATATCGCACATTGGCATGATGGGTGAAATTGTTCCGTGAAGGGAGGGATGCCATTCAGGACAGCCATTGTTCAGGACGACCCCATGTTGACATTCAGCTTCTTGCTTCTTTGCTGGATGTTGATCATTGATGGGGTGCATGGGAGTTAGCTGCTGAGGTAGGCATATGTCACAAAACCGTGCTCCACATTCTGCGCAATATTATTGCATACCACAAAACTGCAGCGCGTTGGGTACCCCATACAATGTCCAGGGTGCAACAATGGCAACATTATGCAATTGCATGGGACTTGTTGGACCGGTACCAGAGGCAAGGTGACGCCTTCCTTGGAAGGATCGTCACTCTGGAAGGAACCTGGGCTCACTCATGTGAACCGCACTTGAAGCGACAATCAAATGAATGGAAGCATCCTGGCTCTCCTCATCCGAAGAAAGTGCGCCCTACACAGAGTAATGTGAAGGTGATGTTCATTATGGCATATGACATTGATGGAGTGATACTGCACCACACTGTACCTCAACGACAGACAGTAAACGCTGCCTACTACTGCAATATCCTGCGTAATCATCTTCATCCAGCACTCAGGAGAAAACGATGACACTTGTTGGCAATGAACTCCATCATCCTTCATGACAGTGCAAGGGCTTGTACTGCTGACGCTGTCAAGGATCTCCTTCGCCGTTGGCAATGGAGATACTGCAACATCCACCATACTCACCTGATATGAGTCTGTGCGATTATGATCTCTTTGTCAAAATGGCGAGGGACGCGTTACAACACAAGAGAGGAGATTATTCGTGCTGTAGGGCGGTCACTGCTGGAGATCAACAGAAGTGGATGCACTGATGGTGTACGACACCTTCCACAAATTTGGCAGAAGGTTGTACACATGGGGGGCGATTATATTGAAGGAATGTCAGTGTGTTTACCTCAGGTAATAAAGTCATTTCAGAACTATAGAGGTGTTGCCACTACTTTTTATCCGACCTTTGTAATTTGTTTTCCTTACAGTAATTTACTCCTTGTAAGTTTGACACAAACTCTTATGACAGGGAATGTTTTAGAGCAGTGGGTTCTTAGCCCTTGGATAGTGATATCTAGGAGGTTGTGGTGTGATGGACATTTGGCTACGATTTGGAGAGACAAGGAATGCAAATGGAATATTGGTGTAGAAATGTGTTGTAAAATGTCATCCTGGAAACCTGAGTTGTGGTTGGGAAGATAGCATTGAAATGGTTCTTAACAAATGAAGTGTCCAGCCATAGGCTTTGATATTAACAACGCTGAATCTTAAAATTTTCCTACCATAGTTAGTTAGTTCAGTTTGTCACACCTCTAGTGTTGTTCTTGGGAAGGTGGCATAAGGAGCATGTGCACTTGCTGTTTGGGAAAGTCATATGAACTTTGTAGATTAATTAAACTCTTGAAAGAATGCCTGTTAGGGTTTTGAAATGTGATTGTGACTGTGAATTGGTAGATGAGTGAATGACACAAATTAAATTTTTGTAATTCCCCTCTGGCTTAATAGAATGTCTTGGATTTTGCTGGGGGAGAGGAGATTCAGAACAGTAACGCACAATTAACACTGCATTTTATTCCAGAGATTCACAGATCATGACATACCAGTTAATGTGTAGCCTTCAGTTACCCCCCCCCTCAAAAAAAAATCTCATGTATCTTGAAAAGTAAATATCACAGGACCTACATTGTAGTACATTTTTGGCTTTTTTTTTAAAGCAGTGAATTTCACTATGGAGAGCTTGTGTGCGAATTTTGTTTTGCAGTACTAGTGTGTGTGTGCGTGCATGCACACGCATGCACAGTATGATGCTAAAAAATAAAATATATTTCTAATTTTGTTGTTGAGCGATTGGTTTCTGCTTCATATTTTGGAGCACCAAGGTTTCCATTTCACAGGTTTCACGGACTGTCTGTTTGGGCTGAGAACTTGTACAGATTTCCTTAGTTATTTCAGGAAATTCTTGGACTGTAAAAGTAGGCCATGACTGCTACTTTCTGCACACTCCACAGTTCAGTATGTACAGTCATACAAGTACTACTGTTCAGTACTGTGTAACCCATGTACTGGAGACAGGCCATGGCTGCCTTCCATATGTCTTTCCCCAATTCATAGTTTTCAGGCATTATGCTATTACTTGTATTATATTATTTGAAACTTTGACTGATGCAGAAGTAACCTAAGTACGAAGTATTACATCTTTGATAGTGCATTTATTCTCTTGGTTATTGGAATTTTTAAGTGTATCGCCATGTATTTTAATTAAAGACTCATTAAATCTTTTTTAAATTTACAATTGTGACAGCTGGTTGACCAAATAATACATTTCCAAGAACACATTTGGTTCACTGGACGTAATTTGTGGGTTTATCTATGTACAGTAAGAAGCTCTGGACTATTTTTGTCATGAGGAAGCCAGTGCTGTATTGTGGTCAGATAATTTTTAAATTTGTTATATTTAACTTATCTGTATTTGGCTGAAGGTTTGAAATTAAATCCTCCTTAAGACTTTATGAAGCATATAAAAAGAGCATATATTTCTTTGGGTGTCTGCCCAGAACTACTTGTTTCTTTTCTGGATATTTTCCACCTGGTGTTCTAAACAGAACATAAGCGAAAGAAATGTGGCTAACTGGCATGTAAGTGGCAGCATTTCTGTAGGATGATGAGGTAGCTCGTTGTCAGCATTGGGCTGTGTGAGTCATCTCGCTGGGACCTGGGAAGGAGGGTTGGAGAGCGAGAGAGAGAATTTCATGGCTGAATTGAGAGCAGCTGTCTTAAACAGATGCACTGAAACTTGTTTCACCTTTCACCACAATGTTAATTCTTCGCTGTCACTCTGTGGCATCCCTTCCGAACAACAAGAGAAATGTGTTACTTGACAATGTGTGTGGTTTCGGATGTTCAGTTTAGGAATAGGAGAATGCTGAGCATACTTCCAAAGTGTATCTTGAAGTCCAAATGCTTGCACTCTACCTTTCCATAACAGAGAAAGAGGTGAACAGTCATGTAAAAATGAATTTGTTTCACACCTTATTTGTTAAATGTCTAGGTGGAAGGAAGATTGATGAGCTCTCTTGTTGTTGTTGTTGGTATAGTGGTATAGCTTATCACTTTCAATAACTCACTCATTCATTCCATGGAGCTGAACCCTTCTT